TTTTACAGACATAATCGTTTATTTAAATATATCAGATAATCCTCAAGACAGTTTATTAATGTAAGTAGATATTATCTAAATAAAAAATAAATAAATAAACAAATGAATACATCAAGTATCATATTACCCATGCTATCGGTTGGTTTTAATCACTTAAGTTATCGAAAATCACATAACAATTTTTACGACGCAAAACAACTCGGCCGTCAGACCAGCCAACAGGGAATTAAAAAAAAGAGCTTCAAATGGTGTTTTTCGCCTTCCTAGATCGTGCATCAAATATATTCAATATAATCTCAGAGAATTTATCAAACCAGTACAACATTCCGAAGGAGCCTGTTAAATAGTGCAATTAAAATGTTTTTTAAAACGGTAGTCATCCCGCACCACCTCTCACCTGATAAAAAATTACCCGGATTGAAAAAAAAACACTACATTTTCAGGCATCAAATCTTTATTATCACTTTTAAAATATGCTCCTCAGCCCTAACAAACGGTAATGTACGGTCTTCAGTGACTTTAGCGAATTTTGTGTTTTTTGCTTTCGACTCATTTTTTTGGAACGTCATTATCTAGGTTTTTGAACAGTTTAGACGTCGTATTAATAAACCCACATTTCGTCACCAGTAATGACGCGTTTGATGAATGTAGGGTACTCAGCTATGTTGTCAAGCGTCTTTTATGCGACATCGACAACGTGAGTAATAGACGAAGTAAGTAAGTAACAAACTACATTTAGTTAAAAGTATTTATAGTTGCTACAATTCACTTTTTTTTAAATTACCGCCTGAGGTTAATGGAACCAGACTGTAGCTGATAGATAAATTACTGTAAATCGAGATAATTTTAAATAAATTATTATATAAATAATCACTCTGTCAACTGATAAGTTCGAAGTTCAAGCGCTGTATGCTTAATTTTGTTTTTGTTATTAAGTAATTATCATGAAAGTTCACATCGCTTACTTATAATCTGGAAATATGTATAATATTTGTGGTAAATCCTCAGTGTAACTGTAATATTAGTACTAAGCATTCTCAAGAAAAACTGTATTAGTATGATGCAATTGTTTGCTTAGTAAAAATATTATCAGCAATATCTGCAATAGTTGAGAAAACTTCGCAATCAACTTGATTTAATGCCTACATATATGGTAATATTAAAAGATAATACAAAATTATAATAATTGCATAGATTTTAATGAAATCACGTGTTGTGTGGATTTAAAAATTAAACAGTCAGCCGACGTGTTCATTTTCAGTTATCTCTCCTAATTCAACCGCACGTAATTAATTTCTCATTACCTTCATTAACAGTGCATACATAATATAATATATAAGTATACAGATATATATACATAAATAAATATAGTTTTAGAAAATAACTAATTTTTGTTGTGCAATTTTTTTAATTATCATATCCACAACAACAATATCTTGCAAGTAGCCTTTATATTTTTAATATTTTCCCGATAATAACCTCAAATGTTGCATCATCCTTTATAATTTAGTGGCAAATATTATACAAGTATGTAATGAAAGGGAAAAAGTTAGAACACCGCTTATTGCAGTTAATACAGATGATCATATCATCATCGTGCAATAACGGAGTTTCCACTATTTTCAGCGATTGACAGAGTGGCCATTTATAAACATTGTTGTTGCTTTTTATTTGGTTACGAACTCATTACCTTTCGATTAATTTCAAAATCGAAAGTTTTAAGTAGTAAAGTTATTTAAAAGTACCAAAACTCAAAAGTACCAAAAGTCAGCCAAGGACTGTCGAGTTCCATTCCTCCAAATTATGTCAGGGATGTTTTCTGCCGCTACAACAACAACAGTACTGCACTGTTGATGCAGCACTAAATAAAAATATTGTTGTCACGGAGATCTAACTAAAGACTTGAGAGACTTCGAACAATACGGCTTTTTAACTTTCTACTGCAGTGATGGAAATCTCACCTTGAATAACAGCAGAAACGCTGTTAGCATTATATCAATCTTAGCTATTTGATTTTTCCCTTTAAACAAGATCTAATAATCTCCAGTTAATGGTAAGATTCTTAGCATTATTAAATGAAGTAGGCAGTCTGTAGTTTTAACATTCTATTAGAAGCTGTTTGATATCGGCTTTCTCATTGGACGAAAAATCATCTCACTTAAATATTGTTCGCCAGTTTTAAACTAATTTAAAACGCTTAACAATTACCTATTTATTTGTACCAGAAACAGGCTTATCAGATATTTCTAATACTGTAAAAAGAAAATCGCTTGATTGAAACTCTTCTTCGCCGACAGACACCTTTTTTAGAGATTCTCCTCGAGATCGGCAACGACATTAAGGGAATCCAAAACGTATCCAAATAAATCCCCAATTAGTACATTAAATTCAAAAATGTGTATTAATTTTATTTATTCATCAAATAAAATACTTCACAAAAATATTAGCTCTTTCTGACTTGCAAGTAAATATATCTCCTAAAACGTAGGCGGTACGGATGGACAAATAACTCATAATCAATTCTTAAATGTGCGATTTTTTACCCTAATATATATATATAATATATATAAAAGGTGAAATTTTAGATTTATTGTCGCCGTATATAGAGAAAAAGTTTAAAACTCGGACTTTTTTCTTTAAACTTTTCTATGTCATAGCTCTGTATAAATTTCTTTAAGACATTTTCTTTTTGGGCAAAAATATAGGAATTGAGGACATTGGACCACCCTTTTTCGTACGAAATTCAATGAATGGATCAAAAATTAAATTGAGGCTGAAGCACTCAAATCGCTTTCAGCGGTGAGGCTCATTCCTGGCTTGAAGGCTATGTAAATAAGCGTAGAATTTTTATAGTCTTTTAGAGCAGAAAGAAAGTTCTAAATAGGCTTCATGGTGAAAAGTGGTGTGTTGATCGGAATAATATTTTGGCAACCAAATCATATTAAGAAAGCGGCTGTCCATAGGTCATCAATGTGATTTGACACTGTTAGACTGTTTTTCGTAGGATAACGTTACGTAAAAGGTTTGAGCTGGTAAATCAGCCATGACTGATAAGTTAAGCGGTACACTTAGACAACGTAAAACACTATTGTAGCAATTGTTTTCAAAATGTAAAGGTATATTTATATATTTGACGAATACACAGCAGAAATTTTTAAGAAACATATTTAATATTTTTCGAGTCAAACGCGATTTCCGACGGCGCTAAAAAAATCTTCTCCACTGCTGCAATGATTCCGGCCTGCTGCATGGATGAAACCTAAAAACAAAATTGTCAACTAGACGATATTATCCGTGTAATAACTCGAAAAAAAAATTAAAATTGACAAATAAGTTTAATTTTACTAAACATTTTGGTCGTTGGCTTGCCAAAATTCGAATTTTGGTCAGATCCAGTGGAGCACTATATATTATATGTATATACCTAACATGCATAAATGTTATAGCGATCGAATCATTTGTCTCCAACTAATCACTCCAGCAAATTTAATAAATGTAGTTTGGAGAAATATTCGCTTAATGATAAACTTATATAACTGATTAAACTGAGCAGCTACACTTTAGAAGGCTGTAACTCAGAAACTGTTGAAATTGTGATTTAAAAATTTTGAATTTTATTTTTAAAGGGATAAGTTATCCAAATATACAAAAATTAATCGAGCAGTGCCTCTTACAAGCGTTAGTAGTTTGTCATTGGCCAGGAAAAGGTGGACTTTTTGAAAAAAGTGGTGCAATATTCGGTGGATCTTTATAAGGAGCAGTCGTGGTGGCTTAATACAACTCAAACCTATCCGAATACTAAATTCAGCCAAAATATTAGTCGATTCGGTTCTTATGTATTTATTTATGCTCATATTGTATATATGTATGTATGTATATGAATAAGAATACAAATGAATAAAATATTGCCAATAGGCGATTGATATTTGGTAACACGAATTCTTTGAACAAATTATGCAACTGATGCTAAATTTAGCAACGCAATAACCTTGGCGCCAGAAACGCACACAAACACACAAAGGTGTACAAAGGATACTCACACACACGTGCATACACATACAGCATCAGCTGCTGCCAGCCGTCGCACAATGCATACAACATACTGACTGAGGGTTGCTATTGTTGTTGTTGTTGCTACGATAAAGTATTCATCGTTTAGCAAACGAACTAATTGAGCGCAAAATACAACAGTTATTGAGTGGAAGTAGCTACAATAACGATAATATATACATATATGCATGTGTGTGAATGGAGTTGGTTGAGCCGCAGCTGCGACGCCGATAGCAACACTTTACAATGGAGTGTGTTGACAAATGTTATTGTTATGTACAATTGCATACGCGTACGTATGTATTTGTGTGAGGGTGTGTATGCGTACGTTGCGTATCTGACTGCTGTTGTTGTAATATATTCATAACCGAAAGTGTCGTTAAGGGTTGAAAGTGCATTGCTGCAGTCATTGGTGTATTGCGGCTAGCAAATTCCTAGCGGGTCGACATTAAGACAAAGCTGAGCATGCGCATTGGTCCATTGGCTTTTACGTAACTTGCACAACCGTAGCATACTTGCGGGCGGGCAAACACAAAGCGTGTTGTGAGTGTGAAGGATATCTGCATGTGAGTATGTGTGTGTGTGTGTGCAATGAAAGTGAGGTTGAGCGAAGGCTGCAGTGATCAAATCCATGCAAACAGGTTGTGTTGGTGAATGTGCTGTTTTGCATATGTGTATGTGTGTGCGTGTGACAGCTTGGCTATGGCTGTATGTGAGTTAGCGACGTTTTGGCAAATCCTTTCAGTCGACACCGGCCAGATTTAACTTTGCACTTGTTGCATTCGGACAAATAACGGTAAACGCGAAACCAGATCAAAATCGTGTGATAGTGAGGAAAAATATTTTTTTTTTTAAAAAAAAAGAAATGTTGTACAAAGTATAGTACAATTTATTTATAAGAAATTCCCAAAATATCCAAAAAAGCGCTTTCACTCATTTGCAATAAATTTTTTCAGAATAATTTGTGCTTAAAAATGTGTTATAAGAAGAAAGCATAACTACAGCCTATTAAAATTCGTGTGTGTCAAGCAGATGTGCGCACTCTGAGGAAAATGTATGCCACAAACGATTTTGAACTCTACTTCAAAGTGAATATCACTTAAATAAAATCTCAACTCAAAATTTCAGTTTGAAAAAAATTTTTTTACCAAAATGCCAAAAGGCAATATTTTGCAAAACTGTTTTCGATAATTTGCAAAACCAAAATGTGCAAACGTTAGCAAAAATAAAATAAATAAATAGCTACATAGTGTACGTTTATTTTCTGCAGTGTAAAAAAAAAATAAAATATTATCCTATTTAAAATATTGTCAACCAGAAAAGCAGTAAAAAGTGTATTGAAAAAAATCTGCCATTCGATTTTTTGATTGGTGTCAGTGGAAAATTTTCGCGTGTAACAACTTCGTGTTTTGTGTTCGTCATTGACGCAACGCCGTTCGGTTGCAGCCATATTGAAAATTGGATTATCTAACGCATTTCAAAATGGAGGACGAGAGTGACGACAAGGACGACACAAAAAGGTATGTCGACTGTCCGTTTGGAATTTCATAATGATATTATTCAACACTTACCACATCGATATTAATATTTATATACACACAAACATGCATACACACATATATTCAAATCAATTGCAACACAATTGTGGGAAATTCAATTTCAACGTTTGCTTAAGAAAATCGTATATAATAGTATTACTCAAATTGTTGCTCATCCGAGGCTCTCACATTTTTTCATTTTTCCGAAATTTTGTGGAACTGACCCGGCTTGGCGGCCAAGAATGAATGCAGCTAATCTCTGATAGCGTGCTCCGTTGTGAACCGTATTCCAGTAAAGACGTTCTGCATTTACCGGAACAGATGATGATTAAAACTAACAAGGTTTAGGTTATAAGGCGGGTGATTCAAAATTTCGCAACCGCTGTTTTCCAAAAAGCTTTTAACCGGTCTTGCAACATGAGGCAGGGCGTTGTTATAATAGTAAATTATTTAATCAGAAATTTCGGGCGTTTTTCGGTAACCGCTTTCTTCAATTTGATAATTTGTTTTTCGTAACGTTCACCATTTATAGTTTCAAGTTATTGTTAGAATTTCAAGTAGTGTTAGAAAGTTATTATAAAGAACGCCATTGTGTTCCCACCAACTAAAGAACATTTCAATGGCGTCATATATATTCCGCTTTGCCGTTAATTTGGCAGGCTAGCCAGGTTTCACATATGAGTTTTTTGCTTATAGGGTTGTCATAATTGATTAATTTTTCATCACCAATCACAATCCGATGCAAAAACCATTTCTTTTTGAAGCTTAAAAGCTGCATTTGTGACGTGCAAAATCGTCTTTAAACGTTTCTTGGCTTCAATTCATATGACACCCAATTTCCTTGGTTTTGAATATACCCGACTGCTTTGAAACGTTTAAAAATGGCCGCTTAGTTGGCTCCCAAAGATTTAGCGAGCTCTTCTTGTGTTTTGCAGCAATTTTCATCGAGTATTGTTTTCAGTTCCTCATCTTAAAACTTTTTGGGCCGCCCAGTACATTCTTTCTCTTCCAGCCAAAAGGCAGTACCATCTTAGAACATGTTTGGAGTATTGCAAAAATGGAATAAAAATCAATCAAAACTATTTCAAAAAATCGCATTCTGAACGGCAAACTTATGAAGCAATTCGAGTACCGAAAAATGGCTATCTAATTATATTGCAAAATTTAATGTGACCCATGATCTAAATTTGTTGAATGACGTCGCTTCTAAATACTCAGGTTTTGTCATATGTTTAAAATTCAAATTTTTCAAAGCTCTAATGTGAAGAATTCTAGGTATATCTTTCATTCACCGAATCCAGTTAAGGAATGAGCTTGAAATTAGCTACCAAGGTCATGCGTGAAATATCACGGCAATGGTTTGTCTTGAGAAATCAGCATAAACTCTCATTCGTTAAAGACTAGTATGGTACCAGGCCTCAGCGGAGGCGCAGGGGGCCCGCACTCCCCTTGTGTTTTTATTATTGGATAGTTGGGTTTCGTGAGCGCTACGCTACAAGCGGTTCCTGCGCTGTTGCCATATCCTTTTGATCCAAGGTCCATCGTAAAAGATCCAGTGCGCTCTTTGCCCTTAGTAAAGCTAGCATGTCCATAGTTTTGAGGGTTTCAACAGAACCCATCAGCTGCTACAGTTGTATGGAAAAACACGAGGTGGTACTATCTCAACACTTCATTATGAATTGTCCCGCAATGTCGCATCCAGAATATAAGCATGATGCATTTTGAGCAGTTAGACGCAATTTTACTTTACTCATTTATTGAAAATTTGTTTTAAAAAATTCTTCACCGTATAATATATTTTTACATTAAATTATAGTTATTATAAGTCGGTTTACATTAGTCTACTTTTTCTTTTTCCACCGCTTCTTGCAACAAATGTTCGAAAACATTGGAGACTTAATCCCAAACAATTCACAGATTTTTCGGTCACAAGGAATATTTTTACTTTCTTTCTTTACTTGTCTATGCTAAAGATAATAATCTGCTTGACACAAGTGGAAAATTGGTTCATTAAATCCACCAAATCAATCAAACTTCCGGTTGGCTTAGTACCCTATACTACATATCCGTCAACATGCAAGATATCTTAACAAAATGAAGTGAGCGTATAATACAATATAATATTGGATATACAATACTATTATGTAATGCCGAAAATCTGTGAATACCCCTGCTCCCATATACCACATAAAAGGATTTTCGATATTTTACCAAACCTTATGCTGAATATGTCAATCAATGTGTTAGTTATATTCTTAAAATTGCTTGGAAACATATTAGCATATCAGTTCAGACCTTTTACTAGACTCAATATATCTAGTCAATATGAATGTTATTTGAATAAAGCCAAGTAAATAATTGTAATAAAAAAGTATGTGGTTAGCACGGAATATGAATGAAATTGGTCTAGATCTTGATCTAAACCCCACATTTCTGATGTGATTTCCGATTCTCTGGTTGATGTTTTTCACATTTATCCAATATACAAAATTTGACCAGCATTAGTTGAGTTTATATCACATATAGCTTAATAGAGTTAATTAGGTTGATTTAAGTATAAATACCTCGGACATGTAGCAGAATATGGTAATGAATCTAAGCGAGTCTTGACCTATAATATAAGTTAAAAAGGTACCAAATGTGATTGTAATCCTTTCACAATCTCGCTGTACAATAAATGTTAAATCTTTTCCCAAAATTTTTTAGTAAAATGTTTTGCCAACATTAGAAAGTGTTTCCTCGGGTTTGATTGTGGAAAATTGTGAGGATATTGATGTCAGTATGAAAGTATTGAACACACCGTACCTTTATTTGAGATAGTTATGCTTAATTTAGGTCTTTGCAAATAGGTGAGGTGTTAATACAAAAGTTGTAGATCTTTTTGTTATCTATAATTTTGCCATATAACTTTTTCCTATAAGGCCTCTAGGTTTGCTGGAAATCGACTAAACCATTTTAAGCTTGAAAATTCAACCACGCCTCTCTGCTTCCTTTTGTCGATCTCAGATCGCCCGTAAACTATTTTTTCTTCCATTTCTGTTATTTGATCTTTTATTTCCAATAGGTTTCATACTAATTAATTTTTTTTTTTTTTGCTTTCAAAAACTATCTACCCTTATCTACCTGTTGTTGTAATGAATTGATTGTAACCACAACTCAGTGGAATTGGAAAAATACCCGATGCTTTTCCACCCCAGCTGCCCAAACTTCCTTTGAGTTGGAACATTAAAAGACGTGGGCGATAAGCCGTCTCAACCGGCCGAAGGCTGGGCCTTGCGAATGGAAATGTTCTGGGTCTCATCATCCTGAATTCCGCCGAGTCAGATTTACCAATGGAGTAGATGGGATCTTAGGAGTAGGTGTCCTGTCATGGCCCCTATAATGTTACTAAGTTCCCTCTTGTCTAAAAGTAATAGAATTGAGTAAGTTAGTTAACATCATTGGCATCTCAGCGGAATGTGAGGGCATATTTTTTACAAATATTTACACATCGAACATCGATTAAAAAGACAAATTAAGACACGACAAAACATTAGAAGAAATTGTGCTGAAATAGCTCCTCCTATAGCCTCAAACAACTATTTCCTTCTCCCCAAACTTAAGAAATGGGTCGCTGGAACCTGGAAAACTCTAATAAGCAGGCCAAGATAGAAACAAGCCTCTATTTTAAAGATTTCGAAGCTATACAGTACTTAACTTGGCTGTAAATGTTCGGTAACCGTTACAAAAAAAAATACAAATATATTTTCATTCAAAAAGATGTTCTTTAAGTGACACCCAGACTGACAAAAAAAATTTAGTTTTCACGTATTTTAGACTTGTTAAATGCTTCGGCTGGGATGACCTTCAATGCCTTCAGCAAATTTTGGTTTTTTTGATTTCGGCTCATATTTCGAGCGCTATTCGCAAATGGTTGAACAGTTTTCATATTATATTCATAAACCCAAGTCTCATAACCAAAAATTATGCGTTTGATAAATCTAATTCCTTAGCTTCGTTGTCAAGCATTTCTTTAGTGACCTCTACTACAAAATGTTTTGAGTCGATTAATAACAGACGTTGAGATCCTCTGTTACTTCTCTGATACCAACACGATGATTTTCAAGCACTGTTTCTTTAACTTTTTCGTTGTTATCGTCATTAACAGAGAGTTGGATCGACGATGGTTTTCCATGACTTTACAACCTTCACTGCATGCTTTGTGCCACTCAAATACTTGTGCTTTAGACTCATTTAAACACTTATTTCATCCAACTAGTTGTTAATTTTTTTACCAAGTAAGAGATAGCCTTTTCGCGAAACACACATTAATTGATATGCAGAAGTTAAACTTCAAACGAAAAATAAATTAACCTATCTAAGAAATTTTTATTGATTCTGTTTGCGCCAGCAAGTTTAAGTGACCCGTCCGTTTAAAATTTGATAAGATGGTATATACATATTTCACTCATACTACTCTTATCAAAAGGTAAGGTGAATTTCTTTATAAAATGTAAATTCAATTGACGATTTTCAAGAACTAAATGTTTGATTTTTTGGACTGACAAGGGCAGTAGAGGTTGATAGTCATCCAGGTTGGTTGTTTACAAAAACAAGTGTAACTCGGAAACACTTAAATTATTTGACAAACAAACGCTTAGCAAATGTTATAGAGAGTCTTAACAACCTAGAAAAAAAATTACCTGCCTTTTTGATGCCCGGCAGTTTTAAATGACAATTTATAACAACCTTAATTTTTGAACACAGTAGTATATAATACATTTCACAGAATCTTAATTTTGCCATTGGTTACCAGGCACAATAGCTTCTCTCACTTATGGATTTATGCAATTAATATAATATAATCGCTTTAGCAAACCAAACAAATTGCATATCCATTTCAAATCGAAACCGAATTCACGCCTTACAATATCACCAAATGTAAATAAATTGTGGCGGATGAGATTAACAGAAATCGAATTGCTTTGATTTAATTAAATTACATAATTAACTACACAAACATACAGACACCGCAAATAGCACACTGGCATGCCTATACGAGTGTATAGGTGTTTGTAGGTTTAACCACAAAGAAGACTAGCAAATAGGTTAATAAAGAGTAAATAGGAAAAATATATCTCAGCAACACAAATTTTTTTTACTATTTCTCCACCGAAATTCACGGAAAGAAATAATGTAGAAGATGATACTGAGTGTGTTGGAGAGGCAAGGGATTTCTGGTCGCCCGCGCTTTGCGATTTCATAATGCCAAGTATGTATATCACATGAAAATTTTCTACTTTGACATAAGCTGTCAAATACAAAAGTGCGACTTATTGTAGCGAGATAAATGCAAACGACAACAGCGGATCGCATGTAGCATTTCACCAGAAATGATGAAAGCATTGGGCGCTGGAGACCAGAAAGTGGTTGCTTCGGAGCATATTTGAAGACGAAAGTGCATATGTGTTTGTGTGTGAGCATGTGTTTGTTTCGCAAGAAGCGTAGGAGTGATAGTGGCAGCACCAAATTTAGAAAGGTAAACAAATAAAAACACACACATGAAAGTTTTTTTTTCCAAAAAAGTTTAAATGTGCACTCATCATCATCACATCATGCATATGTACATATATATATATAGGTGCGCATGTAAAGCTTTGTTAATAATACCATTTATTAATACAATAAAGTGCACAGTTGAGTTAATAACTACAATACATATACAATTGTAGAACATTAAAAGGAGAAGACATTTTGCCAAACAGGTAAATAAAAAAGAAATAAGTAAGCAAGAGCTAAGTTCGCGTGTAACAGAACATTTTATACTCTCGCAACTAGCAAGGAAATACCTTCAGAAGTTGGCAAAGCTTTATAATAAACTAGGCAGAAAGCTGCCTGATTTCATTCACTTAAGAAAAGAGAGTACACTGATATTAGAATAATATTATTTTTGAATTTCATTAAGATTTCTTACATACAGACCGATAAGTGCGGCAAAAGGTCTGATTTCGACAATTTTTGGGCGTAAGATGAAATACCTTGAGGGCACTAATTGTGCAAAGTTTCGATTACTTCATTGATGTTTGATTTGTGTACTGTAAAGTGAAAGAAGCAGATGGAATTTAAAAGTTTATTACAAGCGAAGTAGGCGTGGCTGTAATCCGATTTCGCAAATTTTCACAGCGTATGAAAGGAATTTTCGAATAACTTAACATACCTTTGTTCGAAATTGGTGTAGCAGTTCCTCTTATTTAGGATTCCATCTAAAGATGGACAGTACCACGCTTTTTGTCAAATTTTTTTATAACCGAACCTATAAAGCCCTTCCATACCAACTTGGTTGCAAAACTTAATGCTTGTGGGGCATTTATTCAGTCAGTTAGCTCACTTTTAGTAGTTTTGAACATAATTGGTATATGGGGAGTGGGCGTGGTTATTATCTGATTTTACCCATTTTCACAGTGCATAAAGTAAGGTAAAAAAGGAAGAAAAGGGACTTTTTGTCTGCAAATTGATTTAGTTTCAGCGGTTTTGAAGATAAGTGCATTAAAACATTAATGAAATGGAACCACGCCCACTTTAAAAAAAAATGTTTAGCCCATAAGCGTACCTGGTTACTGTGATTCTCTGTACCAAATAACGGTTCTGTATCTTAGTTTGGAGCTTAGTTATGAGACTGTTTTGGTTTTCGTTTAATGGCTTTTATGGGCGTGGCAGTGGTCCAATAATTCCCATGTGCAATACAATATTTATTAAGATACAATATTTAAATTTTTATTCAATTTATCGCTTGCACGGAAAAACGGACGAACGAACGAACGGACAGGCAGACAATCTGTTGAAATTCAACTCGTTTCACATCGTGATCTTTTGTATATAAATAAAGCTATATCGATCGAGCCCAGTTTTAGCAGTTTTTAGTTTTAGGTACAAACAATCGTTAGGTGAACTAATCTCTTCTACTCGTTAGCAATATTTTGCGAGAGTGTCATAAATCTCAACATTATATGCAAAACAATATTTAAAGAGTTTTGAAGCGAAATAATTTGCATTCAAAAGGAGAATAGTCACTGACCGTCATCATTATTTTCCATTAGCTGCATTTAAGAATATTTCTACCTTCATTACCATAAGTATTTTATTTTTACAAACAATAAACAAATATATTTTTTTTTAATCCCCCACAACCTAATATAAAGATTATCGAACCTCCGGTCTTTATAATCTTAATGAAATTCAGAGAGCAGGTCTTTGCAATAACATTGTGTCGTTGTGCTTGAAATGGATAAAATTAGTTCAGTACTACGCCTAGCCTTTATTAATCCAATAATCGAATTTATAACTTTCGCTTGGCGTTGTATGTATGCTATCATGTATATTAGTCAATATATAAGATAAATAAATATCTTAGCAAAATGAAAGAGGAAGTATAGTATTGAATAAACCATAGTTTGATGGCGAAAATATGTGAAGCCGGTCCACAAATTGGTTCAATTCTTATAAATTTGAGATATGTATAATGATTTTCGCTATGTCGCGTGGAAACATGTTCTCGAGTATTCCTTTAAAAAATCAAAACATTACCATAGCTTCAATATACCCGAACGGTCCATCTGACTTTAAACCGTTTATGTTAATTAAAATGTGCGGCATTTTAATTTAATTAAGTGTTCAAACCTTTGGATAAACATCATATACCTGATGTAATGATTTCCGATTCTGGGGTTAAATTTTTCCTCATCAACTTAACATATTAAAATTGCCCTCTTTGGTTAGGTTTATATCACATATTATTATGATTATTTGGATATGAGGTCTATAATAGCCAGAATAAAATGTCGGCGACCCTTTGAAGTGTATATATAAATTATGACCGTGACGAGCTGAGACGATTTAGACACGTCGATCTATGCCTGCCATGTCTGCCTGTATAAACGCTGTTCTTGTTTTCCCAAGGAGCTACTCATTTGGCGGGACCGATATCGGATCACAATAGCATATAGTGGCCATACAAGCTGTTTGATCAAAATCAAGTCCCTCTGTGGACAATTTTTTATTTAACAAGATATCTTTACGAAATTTTACCTGGATTATTTTCCAATATAAAGCTGCAATCTCCGAATATATTGTTTAGATCGAACCAGTAAAGCATATAGCTCTCGTACAAACTGGCCGATCAAAATCAAGATAAATATATACACAAAAAAAATTCTTATTAAGTTACTTGAAGTTAGTTAAGAACTTGAAGTATCATAATTGACAAAAATTTGATTTCGATAATTTGGGCTTTTGAAGCTTTATTTTCTGTATTACTATTACTCTGAAATATTTTTATTTGGCAGAAAATATTTTGAAGACGTGTTAGATAAATTTAAGGCTAAAACCGTTTCTTGGGGGAGGTTTTACATGATGCCAACACCGTAACCCGAAATAAAAACTCTAGTTGATCAATAGCTAGATATTTGAATCGCTAATAGTTGAAGTTGAGATATTGTAACAATGTTATTATTTCAGAAAATAATATGTTTACATATTTTTGAATATCTGGATTGGAGTAAAAAATTGCAGCAAGCAAAGCAAGACAAAACTCTAAAACATTTCTATACACTCATCTTCAGTCCTTGTGGTAAATTTTGGATGTTCTCTACTTTTGATATGTCAATTTATAGTCAACTGAATTTATGTTAGCATTACTCAATTATTAAACAATTATTTTACCTCTTTCTTACAGAAAATCTCGAAATCTCAGCGAAAAGAAGAGGCGAGATCAATTTAATACGCTGGTGAATGATTTGAGCGCGTTGATATCGACATCGAATCGGAAAATGGATAAGTCAACAGTGCTCAAGTCGACAATAGCATTTTTGAAACATCACAACGGTAAGTGATTGAATATACATATGTGCATTTGTGAAATCTTTATACTTCATTCTAAAGTAATTGATCTTTTGAACTTTTTTAGTTTAAAACCTGAAGAGTGTATTGCTCTTCAAAAAATTTAAGAAAAAAAATAAAAAAATTTATTTTTAACTCAAAACTTTCTTTGCAGAGGCCACCGATCGTTCGAAAGTTTTCGAAATACAGCAAGACTGGAAACCAACATTTCTTACCAACGACGAGTTTACACATCTCATGCTAGAATCCTTAGATGGCTTCATAATAGTGTTTAGCGGTATTGGTTCCATATGTTATGCCTCCGAAAGTATTACGCCACTGCTGGGTTACCTTCCGGTGAGTAGACAGCACCATAAATATCACCATTTATACAAACTAATAATTTCTGTTATTCGACCCTTAGAGCGACCTAGTGAATATGACCATTTTCGATTTGACCTACGAAATGGATCATGAAAGTCTACTGAATATATTTCTAAACCCCAAACCAGTGATCGAACCACTACAGACTGATATTAATTCAAGTAATCAAATTACATTCTATTTGCATTTACGGCGTGGCGGTATCGACAAAGTGGATGCCAATGCGTACGAGTTAGTTAAATTTGTAGGTTATTTTCGTAAGTAGAACGCTATATAGTTTCCATGCCAAATGTAATGGTCTAACCACAAAATTTCGACAACCCACATAGGAAACGATGTGAATCTTGACAGCATACAATCACAGAACTCACTTGCCTTGCCACGTATCTTCCAAATGAATCCTAGCGCCGAGGTGGATAAGAAATTAATATTCGTTGGCACCGGACGCATTCAGACGCCGCAGCTAATACGCGAAATGTCCGCCATAGATCCGACATGCAACGAGTTCACTTCGAAACATAGCATGGAATGGAAATTTCTATTTCTGGATCATCGTGCGCCGCCGATCATCGGCTATATGCCCTTCGAAGTGCTCGGTACTTCCGGTTATGATTACTATCATTTCGATGATCTGGAGAGCATCGTGGCTTGCCATGAAGAGTGTAAGTGTTAGTTACATCTAGAGTTCCACTTCTGACGCTAAACTTTATAAATTATCCCCACAGTGATGCAGAAAGGCGAATGCAAGTCGTGCTATTACCGTTTCCTTACAAAAGGACAGCAATGGATCTGGTTGCAGACCGAGTTCTATGTGTCCTACCACCAATTTAGCTCGAAACCTGACTACGTTGTGTGTACACACAAAGTGGTCAGTTATGCAGATGTGATACGCCAAAGCAAGGCGGACAATAAGTTGGATAAAACTCCGTCGATCAACAATAGCACTAGCAAGTCGTCCACAATGACATTGAGGGACCTTGAAACCACCAGTCAAAGTCTTGATCCTTCCACGCTTTCGGCGAGTGATAGTGGCAATGTTATAATGGGTATATTGAATGAAGCTTCGCCTCGGCTGGACACATCACCCATATGGCCGAATGCTTCTTCAACCACGGGTATAACATCGACAACATTCAAAACATCCCGACCTGCCTCGAGTTATGGCAATATTAGTTCTACTGGAATCTCACCGACAGCTAAACGAAAACGGTATTTCCCACATAAACCTGGCAACGAATCCGATTCAACGTCCATGTCTGCAGATTCAGCCACTAGTAAACACTCGCTTATGACACATTTGAGTTCGGTGAGTCCTAAACGTAACCCTTTAAAAGTTAGGTTATTTGATTTTACATCTCTATAATATAGCTGAACTTATGTAGTTATTTTTCGAGTATACACACATTTATAATAAAAGGAATAAATTGGAAAAGTTCCGAAGTCCAGAATAATACATTTAGTTTCAAAGAAAGTGTGCGCATCCCATATTTCGGAAGCTACTTCACCGATTTCAAAATCTATTTATAACATTCCTCTGACATCCCTAGATTAAAGTGCGAAAAAGGGCAAAATCGCACAGTAACCACGCACATAACACTAATTTAAATTCCATCTGATTTCTTCACTTTCCAGTCTACAAATTAAGCTCTAATAATATAACAGGATAAAACTTTGCACGAATAGTGCCGTTAAAGTATGCCACCCGATGACCAAAAATTGTGCAAATCGAACTAAAACAGTTCAAGCCCCTAGATACCGAATATATGGACCCTAGTACCTATAATTAAAATTTTAATGAAAATATCGGTCAATTTGGGAAATATATAATTGAAATTCGGAAAGGAACCTTTCCTGATACTAGTATGTCTGTATATCAAAAATGGAAAAATTTAATCGGGTCAATACTTCTTTTAGCCCCCATATGCCTAATATTAAGATTTTGGAACTTTGTGGTGACTTTATACCCCATATATCACCCAATATGTGAGTTATCTCAATGATAATAAGCGAGAGCGCGTTTTGCTAATAACAGTGTATTTTTCTGCCTAATATGGATAAAATCGGCTGAAAACTTGGTCAGCTCCCATATAACTAATATCAAAATTTTCGAATATTCGGCTGACTTTACTCCATATAGATAAGTTATGGCATGTTAGGTGCCTTAAAGAAACCCAGGGATAAGTAATAAATAGATAAAATCGGATCAATGCTACTCCCAACTCCCATATACTATATATAATGATTTTCATTTTTCTAACAAGATTTATGCCGAATATGTCGTTCAATATCCCCTGTATATTCCATCTAATGACTTCCGTCTTACCAACTGACTTTAAACCGTTCAGGTTGGTCAAAATGTGATATTTAAATGAAATTAAATAGATAGATTTTCTTAAAAATTATGTGCTTTGGCGCTAAATTAGAATGGATTTAGTCTATAATCGCATATCCCTAATTCAATTAATTCCGGTCGTCTGGTTGACGTTTTCTACATAAACAATATATTAAATTTTGCCTCTTGGGTTGATTTAATATCAATGATTATGTTAAAAGTTTTAACTGACGTGAATAAAAATAGAGCAATAGCTGAGTCCAAAATTATTACCTTCAATATAAGTCAAGAAAATACCAATTTTGTTTGTAATTTATTCACGATTTCGTCCAATAATGAATTTTTAATTAATTCGCAATATTTTTTAAAATAAAGTTAGACAGCACCTGAAGGAATTTCCCGGCCTTTGAATCCTTCAAGTTGCAAGAGTACAAAATGTTCGGTTACACCCGAACCTAGCGCTTTCTTACTTGTTTGTTTTAAAGTTGCAAACAGTTGGCAACCTTCTAAATTGTTTCTTGCTGTAATTCCTTTTTGCAATCTTTGAAAATAACCAATTTACTTTAACGCAGAGTCGACAACGCCACGGTCACAGCTCGGGTATGCGAATTCCGCAAAGTACAACGCACGCGCAGCAGCTGAATGCGGGCAGTCAACATGCGCTGCACAATCACCACCAGTCGCAGCAGAGCACACCACTGCAGATGAATCAAACGCAAAACCAACAGAAAATCCTACCGATGCTACCGCAACACACCATGGCGCAGGCGCAAATGGTGCCCAACAATCCATGTCAATTCACACAGCCCAGCTTCCCGATACGCAGCTCGCAAATAGTCGGCCCCACATTTTTGGAGCCGTCGCAATATCTTGCCGCCATACCGGTGCAGCCAGTTATCGCGCAATTTCCAGTCGCACCAGTGCTGTCACCGCTGCCGGTGAATATGAGTACGGCGCCGCCTTGGAAGCCGACCACGCAACCGACAAATGGAACCTTCGACCCGCTGCAGAGCCAAGCAGACATGCTCTCCGGTGCGGTAGTGATGACGCCCACCCAGACACAGCTGCAGGATCAGCTGCAACGCAAACACGACGAACTGCAAAAGCTGATCATGCAACAGCAAGATGAACTGCGCATGGTCTCCGAGCAGCTACTCTTGGCGCGCTACACGCTGTTGCAGCCGATGATGCCGATGAACTACAATACGCCGCCGAACAGCGGTCGTGGCAATTACAATTTTGCTAGCACCAATTCGATGGAGCAGCAATTCAATCAATTCGGCTTTACTATGAACTCCAGCGAGCAGCTGGTGGATCAGACGACGCAGCATATGATGTTGCAGCAACAGCAACAACAGCAGGTTCACGCGCAGGCGCAACAGCAACAGCAACATAGTATGCAGCAACAGCAGACGCAGCATATGCAAACGCAACAGCAACAAATGCATAACCACAATCACCAACAACAGCAACAGCAGCAACAACAACCAACGGCGCAACAAGGCAATCACCATCAGCAGCATCATCATCATCAGCATCCGCAACAAAACCAGCCGCAACTGCAACAGCACTTGCAGTCGCTGCAGCAGCAGCCACAACAGCAACAACAGCAGCAGTCGCAGGAACAAGTGACTCAGCAGCAACAACAACAGCAGCAACTGAATCTGCTCTCACGCAGTGTACCTGATCTAGCGCAATTCGGCCACGAAGACATCGACGCGTTCTTTAATCTCTCGCCGCTGCAAACGATCGGCAACTCGCAGCCGAATCAAAATTCACGCAGCAACAATAATGCAGTGAGCTCTACTAATGGGCTGCAACAACAGAGCGGCATTAGTCAAGGCTTCATCAACAACACCAGCGCACCGCAAGCGACAAATGAGGACTCGCTACTCTCCTACATGCAAATGGCCACCGAATCCAGTTCGACGCTCAACTTTCCGATGGGTATTAGCGATGATGGTTCCGAGTCGCAGAGCGATCGTATCGATGGCAAACTCATAGGCGGTAATCAAGTTATGCAACAACAGCAGCAGCAGCAACAACAACGCACCAATAATTTCTTTCCGAACAATCCATTCGAAGCGCTCGGCAATCAAGCGACCACAAATCAATTACCTAACGATCTGGAAATACTGCCCTATCAGATGTCGCAGGAGCAGTCGCAGAACCTCTTCAACTCACCGCAATCCTCGAGAAATAGTCAATAGCCTTAAGCCGCAATTCGAATTAGTTTAGTTGTAAGCATATAATTAGTTTTAGTTAGTTTCATATGTGTGGTTGAATGTGTGTCTCGGTAAATATTTGTATGCATTCGTGCGTTTAGATAGGCGTAGTGTGTAGGTACAAACCCTGCAGGAAAATCCGCTGATGTATATATTTTCAATTATAAACCTGAAACATCTAACCGATAGTTAAAATGAATGTAGATAGTATAATCTTCCTTACCACCAAATTTTCGAAAAACAAAGAAAGCTGCACCGGTTTGAACTCAATTTTGATCATAGCAAATACTGCAAATAGCTTATGGTATATGTATATGACCGAAATCGACCTTTACTTTTTTCACCTTTAATAGCGAATAAGATGACGTTATAGCAAATGTGTATGTCGGTCAATTTGTGAGACAACTTAAATAAAATGGTCTTATTTCCTCAAAACTATGTGATTGGCATTAAAACTTATAATAATTTTATTATTCTCGTAAACATTTCGATTAAAGTCTGAGTTAATTTATGGAGATAGGTAGGGAATGTTTAGTTTCGGAAATAGATTGCAATTGAAATGTCTTTCTTTCTCAGTACAGGGTTACACTACAAGTGCTGCCTACTTGTATATACAATTGTTATAGTATTTTCGATTCGCTACTCTCCAACGCTTGCCGAATCGCAGACAGTTAATATAATATATATAGTGAATTGTGTTAGTTAAGTTAATTTTATCATAGACATTTTGGTTACAGAGAAATATATGGAACATAATATCTTTTGAACCTTTAGGCTTACGAAAAAATTATTGAAGACCATTTTTGTAGAAAAGTAAAATCCTGCAAATGTAAGTGCGAAATATTTTTTTTACATAGGAGATGCCGATGTTTGAATTTTCGTACAGAAAATATAAGAAACTAAAAAGCAAAGGATCTTACCTTTATTACAGAGAGAATTTTCGAGTTGTCTACCAATCAATTTGTCAGAGTAGAAAGTAAAAGAACCCACCATAATATATACCTATAATCTTGTTCGGCTGTGACCGCACTTAGCTCTTTCTCACTTGTTTTTCCTGTTAACTTCAGCTGATGTGGAGCTGAACTGCAGGGTTCGTAGAGGCTAACAGGCTAAAGCTGTTTTTTATGTGTGTGTGTGTTGGAATGCATTTTGAACTTTTATATAGGAATAATTACAGTCAAAAATATGTCTGTATATACATACGTAAATATATGGTGAGCCTAAGCATTAATTGGAACTAGATATCCTTAATAAACTATGATGTTAGTGCAATGAAACACTCTCGTGCGTGATCTGCTTGCCAAAAGTTTTATTTAAACTTGGTATTATAAAAATAAAATACTTTTAAGTAAAACCTGGTGTTTTTAAATAAATTTATTTCAATTAATTGGCAGCAGCATATTATAGTTTTTTGTTGTAGTGTGTGACACAATATTGTGTAAATTAAGTGTAAATCATTTTTAACAGTTCGAATTTGCCATCTTTTTCTTGTTTTTTGTTGTAAATTTTTTATAAAATAAATCCTTAATTGTAAAACAGCTGTATTTCGTGGGTCTAAAGCATTTTTGTTTAAAGTAAGTCGGCTGCATTACCGTTACTTGCTTTAAAGTTGAAAAATAAGACAATTATATTTAGCTTTAAACAGGAAATTTTACATTTTACTAACTCGTAGATTTATGGATTGTTTTTGTATTGTTTGTTGTTTTTTTATTATTTTATTTATTGGTTTTTTATGTTTTATGTTAATTTGTTAAATAATTTGTTAATATTAATATTTTTTTTTTTGTATTAGGGTTGAGAAATCAAAACAAAAACTTAAAACTCCAAGGTTTCACAAAATTTCTTTCAGTAAAAAATAAAGTATCTTCTTTAATTTAAAACTTTAATTTGTGTTATTAATAGATCCCTATTGCTTGTTTTTTTTTTGTTTTTTTGTTTACAAATCACATAAGTCACCTAAAAATTCTTTCAGCAAGCAAGAATATTATTTTAAAAAAAGTTTTATCGGAAGGAGTTGACAAAATTTTCATAAGAATGCGAGCATTATAAAAGAACTCTCCAAGCTTAAATAGGGCGTGAGTTTTGAGTATGATCGAGGCACATCGAAATAAAACTATATTTCAAGGAAATGCTTGTTTTCTATGTGAAAATATCTTAAAAATCTTTGTTCAAGTGATTATATTAAACGAAAATTTATAACACCCTCATAGAAATCTATAGTATTAACTTCAGCTTGAATACCGAAGCTATTGAAATTTTCCCTTCATAGTTTTATAGACACTTAAGAATAAACTTACTCTCTTTCATTTAAAAAAAAATTTTGCTAAGAATGTGCTTTTTCCCAAATTTTGTTACGAAAGTAATACTTTCAGAATTAATTTGCTGTCTGTCTAATTTTCTACAAATATTTTTTTTTCTTTATATATATAAATATATATTTGTTTGAACTTTACTTTCTCAGTTATATTTTTTTAGAAAAATATAAAAAAAATTACTGTAACAAAATAGTTAATATTTTCAAACTTAAATTCTCTTGTGATATAATTTAAGGGAAATTTAATGTTTAATAACTGTTTCTCTTAAACAGTAATTACCCACTAAAGCTAAATATAATATGGTAAATCGCTCGAGTTCAAATATTTTCTATACATACCTGTTTGAAAAATGTAAATAATTTAGGTTAGATTATTTCATATACTCAGGTTTCAAAACACTTGTTTCTTAAAGGACTAAAAAAAGTAAGATTAAAACTCCACACTCTTTAGGTTAGAAATAAATTAAAAGTAATAATTTGTAATTTCTAACATGCAAACATTCCAACTTATAGCAAAAAAAAAACAAATTTAATTAAAATAATTTAAACTTAACCCACCCAATGTAAATTATAAGCAAAGATAGCCTGTTGCCGATCTTAGACTGTAGGTTTTTCAATAATATTTATATAATTTTAGCTATAAAAAAATTGTATTAAAAATTGTAACATTTAATTTTTCATAAAAATATTTCTTTTTTTTTTAATTTAAGCAGCAATCACTTTTTTTTTTTTTTGATAAAACTCGTATGCATTAAATCATAACCGGAATTTAAATGCATTAAATCATAACCGGAATGTAGATGATTTGTTAAGAAGAAATTATATTGATAGCAGTAAAGTAGGCGTTATAACTGTATATGAATCCCGAATATAAATAAAATTATTTCATTTTTAATAAAAAAAATATATAAAATTTCAGAATATTAAAATATTAATGAAAATTTAAAATTATTGTTTGTTCACATTTCTATAAAAAAAATGTTTATATTTGAATAATATCTTTTTTTAATTTAAACCAAAATGGTCGCTTTATGGCAGTTGATTGCTGGTTACTACCATTATAAGCGTCAGTGGACCGAAGAGATCTCCTCCAGTTTTGACTCTCGAACAAAATTCGAAAAATTATTCAATTGTATTAAGAAAAATTTCGAGAAAAACCAAGAATGTTTTTTATTTCCTTTTATTCAGTTATTTTCTTGTATCATAGATACAAAAGTTTCCAAATTCGGTGTTCAGTAAAAAAACGTATTTTTTTACATCAAACATGCTTTAAAAATAACAATTCAGTATTTTGTGTACGCTCACGCTTGCCACGATGTTTAAAACAATCATAAAGAAGTGTTGGAGACCCTATAAAGTATATATATGTGTGTATATAAATGATCAGCTTGGCGGTCTGAGTCGATTTAACCATGTCCGTGTGTCATATGCATTTACCCTCAGTTTTTTAAAATATGGACCTGAAATTTTTCACATGTCCTTTTCTCACCACGAAGCTGTTCATTTGTGGGAACCGCTGTTATCGGACAATTATATCATATATATATTTGAAAAGGCATCTTCACAAAATTTGGCATAGATTACTATCTGGGGCATCACTATAATCTTAGAACAAATTGTTCAGATCAATTCACTATAGCATGTAGTTGCCATACAAACTGAACAATGAAAATTATGATTTAAAAATTTTTTTACTCTTTTATGTTGTAAAAAATGCACCTATGAAATGTATTTTAGTTACCGTGCAGCCGAAGTTAACATTTTTTCCAGATAAACTTGTTTGAAAAGTGCTATCACGATTTTAAGGCAATTAGTGAAGTATTGAGCTTATTACGTTTCAAATCTTAAAAAAAAATGTTGGGAAAAAAGCGAAATTGAAATAAAGGTGCTACAAAACATTATCTTCCTACATAATTGTTAATTTTAATTGTATCTTAATTTGAAGCTACACAAGACTTTTAAGCGATTTTAAATAAATATTAAGTGAGTTAATTTCTTGGTTGGTTGCTTAAATTGGAAGATTGAGAAAATGGTTGACGCAAGCGGTCGCATTTAAGCCATCATAGTACTCATTATGCTCCCGAGTGAGCTCTCATTAAGTACAGTTCAAAAACTAGCTAAAGTTGATAGCATTTCTAAGCTTTCCCCACCTTAGCTTCCGAGTTACCTCTTCTTGTAATATATTTAACTATAATTGTTAATTATGATATTTTAAATATTTTTATAAATTTATCATCGAAAACTGGCTTTATAAAATAAATATCCTTACAATTTGTTTTAAGTGTGTCTAGTGTAAATATAAACAGTTATTTATATACATATATATGTATATAAGCAGACACGTATAGCAACCTTGTGTATGTAAATAATTTTTAAAATTAGTTAGTAATTTTCTAATTAGCGAACTGGTATAGATATGTATGTAGTGTTTGTACATAAATGTCTATAAATATTTACAATTTAATTTAATAGTACATATATCAAATATTAGTAGAGTGTATATAGTACTAAGAAATATTTCGCATAGCCAATTTTTATATATATAAAATAACGATAAGCTACTGAAGGAAGTGAGTGGAATATGAAAAAAATAATAAAAATCAAATGCATAAAATCAAAAAAAAAAATATTGTTGTTTATAATAATTTTTTTTTTTCAAATATATTTCATAACGGTAAATATTTACAAAAAATATAAAGTAAATCTATCAATAAGTATGTGGCTAGCTAATAAATGCATATATACAACTGTACATATATTTTCCATAGAAAATTCTCCATTGTTTCTACACTTTCAACTTCTCCACGGCGTTTTGTAGAATCTGAAACTCTGAGTTGATATCGTCCATCAGATTGCGAATCTGCTTCTTTGAGTCGAGTACTTCGATACTCTGCGTATAGGCATTATAGCGTACACCGAAGGGACGTGGTATGGAATTGGCGAATTTGCTAAATAATACAGGGAAATATGTAAAGTTAAAGTAAATGTTAAGAACAAAGCATAAAAGCATTGTATGGCTTACATTGTCTTCTCTTTGGCGCTCTCAAAACTCTCCGATACATAGTATACCTCTTGGAATTGCGTAATCGGATATTTGGTACTTCCGGTGACTGTTGGCTCAAAGTCACGTAATTGTGGCTTATCGGTAAGACAATACTCCAATTCGCCGTAGGATGAGAGTAAACCGGCACCGTAGGCTTTAAGATCGCCATCTTGGCGACACAGGCCATACTCAACGGTGAACCAGAAGATCTATGAAAAGTGCAGAATATATTATATTATATATAAAGCATATGATTTCAAATAACTTGATAAATATATACTCACAGTTGCCAGCTTCTCGATATAATCATCGGGTGCACCCAAAGACGCTAAGCCGATTTCCTGACTGAATTGTGCAAATGCGGGATCAGCGAATAACGGTACGTGGCCCATAAGTTCATGACAAACATCTGGTTCAGGTGTATACATCGGTTTGCTGGGATGGCGTATATACTGTGTGGAATGGAAGACACGGAAAGCAAGCCCCGCAATGAAATCGCGTGAAGAGAGTAAGCCAGCGACTGGGCGTAAAGTGAAGCCGGTACAATCTGCAAACAAAAAAATATGTGTAAGTATATAAAATTTACTTTTACAGAAAATATTTTTACATGGTTAGGTATAAGGTTTTCCTTGAATTTTTTTGAACATGCAAAATATAATTTTTCAACTAATGTTTTATATCTTTCTCTCAGTTTTGAAGGCCGATGTGCTTTTAAAGTTCGTTTTAATACGTTCGAAGCTTTTAAAATATCTTTTTCTTACTTAAAGTCTTTGAGATAGTCGCAATCGAAGCTATAACTGATTACTAGGTAACTCATCAATTATGATAGGTCAGTGAAGGGAAGAAAATCAACAGATCTTACAACTAAAACTAAATACAAAGGAAAGAAGACTTTAGAAATATAAATTATCCAAAACTGTGTCCATACAGAATTAACTTCTTTTCAAAGAATAGTTGAACTGAGATCCCAAGCTTTTGAGAAATTAAATATTTGCGATGGTTTTCTGGTTCTCTTGGATCGACCCATTTTCTATACACCCGAAATAATAAGCTTTTAACCTTCTGAACTAAATTTGATTATATTATAAACCAACTATAAAATGATTCGGAAACTTATAAGAAAATACCCAACAACAACTTCTTAAGAAATTTGTGTATTTTCAGGGTCTTATGACAAAAAGTCAATGCAAAAGCTCGGTATCCTATGAGAAGGATTTATGTAAAAACTAAAATTGTGTTAATATTATCTTCTAGTCAGATTGCACGGTTATATAACATAAGTATAGTGCCCACCTTTCAAAAAGTTCGAAACATCCTCCAATTGTGGTATGTTGTCCTCTTTGTAACCACAATTATCAACCAGCAAAGGAAACACGTGATTATATTCACGGCAAGCATGCGTTTTGTACAATTTAGTTAGGTTTTTAAACATTGTGCCCCAAGTCTCAACTTCTTCTTTGGTGTACTCGACGCGTGGTAAAGGTTCGCCATGTTTATAGTTGTAAGCGATATCGGCAAAGTACTTCCTGCAATATTAAATTTCAATTCATTCAAAATTAATTAATAACATTACTACTTTATATAAACATAAAAGCAATCACTTGCCTTCGTTGACGATAAACGGGATCGGTGAAACCAGGATGATCAGAATTCAATTCCGAGCCATAACTTAAAATCTGATTAGCGAAACGATCAAGATCTCTTATTCTGCGCGGGAACCATGGCACCGCCGCACTATTATCCTTGTAATCACGTGATATTATATTGAAGTAACTGCATTCCCCACGCAACTCATCAATGGCCTTGCCAATTGCCCCAGATGTGGTGTCACATTCCACAAAGAACTCATAACCGGGCACACGAACGGATGAGCGCGATTCGATGTGCAGCAGATTGACGTTGTAGTGCGTGAAGATTTTTAAACTCTTCGCAAGCGAGCCGCTGCTTTGTTCTTTCAGTGTGTACAAAAGGCAAGTGCTACGCGACTCATTCTTGTCAATGCCCTCAGCAATGTACGAAGTGCCATCAAAACGCGTTGGCTAAAAGATCAAGCACGTGAGAGAAGAAAAACCACTATTATTAATAATTGAGTTTATCAGTTATTTTGACTACGAGTTGTAGTTATGAATTAATTTGAAGCCTAGTGGCAGGGTTTGTACCCCAAAGGTCATTGTTGTTGTTTTGCGAATATCTTATCAGTTAGGTTCATAATAATTCTTTCGCGTAGCTGATAAGCAGTTTTTTGCGTGTCCATATTACTATTTATTGAAAAGAGTCAATAATAAGCGAATACGAAATTGAAATTTTAAATTTATGAACCGGAAATAAGTGAAAAGCATTTGTAGAAATTTAGCGTTATAATTAAAAAACTTAATGAAGATCCGATTTCGGGAGCAACCGAATAATTTATACTTTCGCAATTTTCAAAGGTTACAGACGGGGAAATACTTTCAGATGTTGGAAAAACTTTATTTAAAAAAAAAAATGAAATAATTTAATTTAATATTAATCGACGAAATGATGAATGGATCACGATGATGATGTTAAGAGAGCATAATACAATTAGATGTATTCATCTCTCTTATATTACTGCACGCAGTAGTAAAGGTGTGTAAGCTCCAGTGGCATGTTCGTAAAAACTTTTAAAGCTTGTAATATAAGCGTATTTGGTTTGAAAGCTTTCAGCATTCTTACTTTAATGAATATTTAATTATATATAGTGTATTAAGTCATACGATCTAAAACAGGTATGCTTTTGTTGTATGAACGGGTTAAGTACTTGGTGTATAACACTTTGTAGTCAAGTTTATATGACAGATCCTACAAGACTTAAAATTTCGGCAAGTCTTTTGAAATATACCACAATTTTTTTACTTTTTTCGAAAATGCTACTTTGACCTCTTTTAGCATATGCGCTTGACTATATGCCCGATTGAAATAAGAGGAAAACATGGTTCAAAATTTTACTTTTCTAGTAACTTACATATTAAACTATAACTAATAACGATGTTTGAAATAAGTTCAGCTTCGAGCTTTGAAGGTAAATATTTCAAATTTGGAAGCTAACTGCGAAGAGCTGTGAAATTTGTTTTTTACTTATGACTCAATCTGTAGAAAAACCAAAAAAATGTTTGTTCACAACCCAGCCGAGTAATATAGTTTAATGACATGATTGGTTAATGAATAAATCATAGTGAGCTAGATTATGTAGTTTAATAAATATTATTTTTAAATAAACAGCCGTCTTTGATGCGTAAAAATTTATGAATGAAATTACAACAAAAAAAACGGGTATTATAATATTATCAATTGAAGGGTAACAAACGCAATAAACCCGGACACGGTTTTTGCTTAGAAAGACATGCACAGAAAAAATGACGAAGCAATAGCAAAGACCGCGAGAAATCTTAGTCTTGACCTTGGCAAAATGTGAGCCGTTAATCACAAAGGGCTGTCAAAACTATTGCAGTGCGTCTTAGAATTATCTGGTGTATTAATATTGAATTAATACAGTTAATTATACAACAAAAGTTTAAAGCGTTCGCTTTTAGTTGGTTCTATCAAGTGAAGATCATAGTAGTACATATATGAGAATATTATTAGAGCTGCGCTAATAATAATAAAAATTTGCTTTATTTTACACGAATAATTAGGAAAGGACTTTTTTGGTATATGTAAATGCATATACTTACTATACATATACTATGTATATGATTTTTGTACCTAACCAAAATTTGAAGACACAAAAAATCATATAGATCAATCTCGTGTATAGTCGAAGTATTTTGCACCACAACGAAGACCGATAAGTTGTACTCAGTTATACTATGTATCTAAATATTTCTAAAAAGGATGCTACTATTTTTCACTAAGCCTATTTCATCTTTCTAAAATTTCGCATGCTACCCACTAACCTTGTCAAAAGACGTCTGACGTTCCGCCATCATTTTGCTCGAAGCTTTGTTTGAACAAAAACTTTTCTTCGTATTTCTAGACTATTAGACACAACTTTTCACCAATTTTCACCAATCTTTCAGTTTTTTGGCATATTCTCAAAGTTTGACACAAGAAAAATAATTTTTTCGGCACACAAAAACTAAACTTTTATTGCAGAGGTCCAACTTTACACAAATCACAAAACTCAGATGAAACTTTATTTATGAAAATATATTGACTAATGCGCACGCGCACGTCACTAACAGGTACTGCTGTACAAGTCTTCTTTCGAGAACTGAAGTCTTATTTGAAGTGGGCACGCGCTTAAATAGATTGTGGCATGACAATAAACGCGGCAAGCGCTTGCAGCCAAGAGCTGGTTATCTACCATGGAGCGCTGCAAAGGTTATCACCAGTTTCAAGCTAAGACATACAGACACATATAATATATTACAATATATATATATATATAACATAAAGTGCGGTTGGGCACTAACGTGCTTAGTGTATTTGTGTGTGGCAAAGCAGCCGAATTCGTAAGCGCAAAGGTAGCGAGTGTGGAAAAAAATATTCAAATTGTCTGTCAAATACTTGTCACATGAAATGAAAATCCAAAAAGGGTTGAGCAAAATTTGTTGAAAGCTGGCGTCCTACTTAAAACATAAAATGGTGTCGAAAGCGGCACAAAACCTGGGCCCAAATCCGAGGCATGATTATAAGTGAAACCATTTTTATTCCGTTATTATTATGTCTACAACAAAAGTGATTACAATAATTATTAGGCTGTGTCAGTTTTGGGCTGTTTTCATTTTTTAACCAAAAAAAGTAAACTGATAACTTTTATGAAAAAACACTTTTAAAATTTGAGCTCTTCATATAAGTATTACCTGCCTCTAATATCAATTTTTCCATTCTCCATATTTGTAGGAATTTTTTAACTTAGTTTATTCGTCTCTCAAAACCCTAAACTCGAAACACTGTTGTCAGAGTCGGTGCATACAATTTTTTCGAAACGGCTAGACCCATCGATTTGGCTTTTTTCCGAATTGCAAGTGGATATAATCTCTTAAGCATTGTAAAGCAGAACTAAAACCTTATTCTGGCACAAAATGGAACGCTTCACAATAAATGATACCTTATTTTCATTCTGAAGATATTTCAGCTGAAAGTTCCAAATGTAAGAATATTTCATTTTATTCATTTATTTTTTTTTTTCGTATAGCGTTAAATTTTCCTCCGGAATATTTAAGTAGATTTCCTTTTTCCTTTTTTTTTAATTTTTAACCTGTCTTGTAGTTAAAAAATTGGCACAGCCTGATAAATATGGTTGTATAGCTGTATAGAACTAAAAAAAATCTTTCAATCTCATAAGTTAAATCTGTATCGCAAATGTAGACAACGCTATTATTGTTTTTGCACATGTGACGCAAAGGTGAGCTGGGCGTTGTTATCACAACAAAAACAGTTTTTAAGCCGAATCGCTGATTTTAAGCGAGCATTTTATAGATCAAAACAAAAACAAGTTGTCGAAATTATTTAAAGCAATTACGTTGCAAAAAAAAATGTCGCAGCCGCTGCTGGGGGTCTAAAACGGCAGAGCTGTATCAGCTGATTCTAGACAGGAAATTTGTTTCATTTGTGTTTTTTATTTTTATTTCAAAAATTTTATTTTTATTTGGAGAAAGTAGCCCAAAATATATTATTGTGACAATAATTTGCTAACAATCTCAATACTGTGTGTAATTGAGAAAATATTAGATTTCATATTGTCTGCTTATCTCTCATTAAAGAAGACAGTTTTTTCAAATATTAAATAAAAATTGCAGTTAGTACCTAATTATTTGATGATATCAAATTCCTTTTATCCTACCGCAGATTTGTCATTTGCCTTAAACGAACCAATGAATGTAGTGTCCTATCAATGGCACTCCATAAATCAACGGAAAAAGTCGTAATCTCTATTTCTATCAATATTCAGTTCCATTGTTAATACTCTCGGAGAAATATTATCGCAACGAAGGCTCTATGGTTAGTTTGAGCATATATTACATATGTACATTCGGCTTTCGTCGCATTTTAACCTATTCAGTCCATAAAATTTGAGAAGGGAAGGGCACATCGTATTGAAACTTTTTGTTTTAAGAATATAAGCCCACAGAAAAATTGTAAGTTCTTTGTTTCTAAAACCACAATTAGTATTGAAACTTTCTAAATTCCACCCAAAATTGTTCTGAGAATATATAAAAAAGTCAAAACATCTCTTTTTCTGTTCGATGTTTTCCTAGATATGTGTATAAGCTCAAATCCTTAGTTCATTTGTAACTGTCGGTCGTAAAAATAATTTGTTCGAAGCAGGAGCAGGTATTGACAAAGGCATTCTGATAACAAGAGAGTCCAGACAAAACAAGAAGTATTTATTCACAAATCTTGCGTAAATATATATAATATATACTTTGAAAAAATATGTAAATAAAAACAGCTAATTAATGTATATTTCTAGTTAAAAGTAGACAATAGCTTACGCTATATCTTAAGAGAAAGCCAGTTTTGATGTTGTGAGATGTTTAATTGGATCAAATTGTCAAAGGGGGCTCCATTAACATTAATTGTTTTTACAATCTACGACCTATTTATGCTATATATCTAATTAAAAAAATTATATAAGTACAGCTTTACTATAACTTCGAATTTTCTAAGCATTGACCCCGTTCTTAGAATGTAATGACCGATAACTCGAGAACGACAGAAAATGCTGAAAACTATACATAGTCACTAGATACTACCAAGATAGTTTTGTATAACGCATATATATATATATATATATATATTTTTTTTTTTTTTTTTTAAAGGTAATATTGTAAATAAAAGTTTCAGCGTTTCAGCTGATGCAATTTATAATTGAAATTACCACTCTTATATTAATTAAATTACCCCAGTAAAAAAATTGTTTTGGAGAACCCAGCGAAAGCTTTTGGATGCTTGTCTATGCTTCTACAAGCACGTAGCCAAAAAAATATTTCGAATTTTTTAAAGACTGAAATACGCAAAGCGACCCTTAAAACTATTTATTTATGCATCGTCGTAATTCTCATATTCAGATGAAGCAGCTTGTACATTTAAGTTATAGAGGCAATAAAATATATTCTACGCATTAATAATCTCAAATCGACTCATCGTCTAATCAATAATGCAGTGGAATAGCCTTAAGCTGAGCTGGCGCTATACTTCAACAAAAAAATAAAAATTACCAGCAGTTATCGGTTGGAAATTCAAGTGTCAATAGACTAAATAAATTATGATTTCTATTTTTAAAGCATTTGCTGTGATCGAGTTTATCAGGCAGAGCCTAATTAGAAATAAATAAAATCGATGGTAAAGTTTTTATAATGGGATCTTGTATCATTCGCATCTATCGTATTCTGCAAATTTGGCCACTATGAAATTTTACGATCGCAATCCTTAAAAATGTGCTCGCTGAAAAGAAATTTAGCGACTATAAAGAGATAATCGCCCAGAGAATGGCTTATTAAAGCAAAAGATAAATCGTATTGTACCATAAAAAATGGTTTCGAAACTTTCAAAGATGCTATAACAGTGTATTATTCTTGATGATTGAACAAACCAATTGATTTTTGACAAAGAACTTTATTTTCTTTATAACGATCGAAACCGTATAATCTATTTTTCGTATATTATATAGACGTGTAAACATGGAGTTCACTAACGCCGAAATTCGCGCTATTTTAAAGTTTTCGTTCGTTAAAGGCAAAGCCGCTGGAGAAACGTTCCGTGAGATTAATGGTGTTTTGGGGGATGGTACTCTATCACTTCGAACCGCGGAGGAATGGTTTCGACGATTCAGAGCCGGTGAAAACGACACCATGGATAAGCCAGCCGGTGGAAGACCTGTGACGATAAATACCGATCAAATCATGGAATACATCGAGTTAGACCGGCATATGGCATCTCGTGACATCGCCCAGGAGATGGGACTTAGTCACCAAACCATTTTGAACCATCTGCAGAAGGCTGGATACAAAAAAAAGTTTGATGTTTGGGTGCCGCATAATTTGACGCAAAAAAATCTTCTGGACCGAATCAACGCCTGCGATATGCTGCTGAAACGGAACGAACTCGTCCCATTCTTGAAGCGGATGGTGACTGGCGACGAAAAATGGATCACATACGACAATATCAAGCGAAAACGGTCGTGGTCGAAGGCCGGTGAATCGTCCCAAACAGTGGCCAAGCCGGGATTGACGGCCAGGAAGGTTTTGCTGTGTGTTTGGTGGGATTGGAAGGGAATCATCCACTATGAGCTGCTCCCATATGGCCAGACGCTTAATTCTACCATCTACTGCGAACAACTGGACCGCTTGAAGCAGGCGATCGACCAGAAGCGTCCAGAATTGGCCAACAGGATGGGTGTAGTGTTCCACCAGGACAACGCCAGACCACACATTTCGTTGATGACTCGTCAGAAGCTACGGGAGCTCGGATGGGAGGTTTTATCGCATCCACCATATAGCCCGGACGTAGCGCCAAGTGATTACCACCTGTTCCTGTCCATGGCGAATGCCCTTGGTGGTGTGAAGTTGAACTCAAAAGAGGCTTGTGAAAAGTGGCTGTCCGAATTCTTCGCAAATAAGGAGGGGGGCTTCTACGAGGAAGGTATTATGAAGTTGCCGTCTAGATGGAAACAGATCATCGAACAAAACGGCGCATATTTTAACTAAATCCGATCGCTGTAACACTTTTTATAAAGCATTGAATGAAGAGCAAAAAAGCGGAAGGGAAATAACGGCCAATATTATTAAATGTCAAATACCATTGCATTTAATCTAACTTTCTCTGTAAAAGGTCACAATCATAGAACAAACCCTTGCTGCACAACTGGGCGTAGAAAACTACTAACGAATGCTATATTATATTGAAAATATTATGGAAACTATTTTAATAAATCGTTGGTTCATAGAATACTGATTTCATTGCGGTCTGATCAAGCATCTGTACTAACGATTTACCTAATAAACATTCCAACACCCGGAATGACGAAGCAAAAATCTTCTGTCAATCAACAGTTGTCAGTTCTGTGTTATCAATGAGAGTAAAAAATATGTAAATTTTAAATAAAATAATATAATCTACTGATTTTGATATTTAATCACTGTTCTTAAATATGATTTTGATGCCGGAGAACAACATGTTTCTTTGGGTATTATAGTTGTAATCTTTTAACGATTGTTTATTGATGTTGGTTTTAATGGTGAATCCTATTTAAAATTTACTTCGAATTAAAAAAAAATTTCCATCTGACATTCCATTTTACAATATATAAATGAAGCAACAATGAAATTCGAAATAAACGTTGCCTACATAGTGCATTTAAGGTGTGTATGTCATTTCGCGTCTAAAATTTATTGACCATAATTTTTAATGATTTTAACCAACGATCGTGATTACTGCAACAAGAGACCGCGGTTTTTTATACCTTGAACATGTAAAGTATATATATAAATAATCAGCGTGACGAGCTTAGTCGATTTAGTCATGTCCGTCTGTCTCGGAACGGCCGATATCGGACTTTTATAGCATTGTTAGTTGCCACACAAATTGAAGGATCGGAATAAAATGCTTGTCTGAAAACCTTTTTCACTTGAGGAGGTATTTTAGATCAGATAACTATAGCATATAGCTATTATAGCTTCGGCGCAACCGAACTTAAGGTTTTTTCTTATTTTTATAAAAATTCAGTAATTTTAGAATGGGTCTCAATTTATACTGGATCACACTTTGAGATATAGAACTGCATACTTCTATATCATCGTTTTATTTAAAACAGTGCTTACAATATAATAATCTTTTCCACCCACACCGGTATAATTTTTTTTAGGCATTTTTTTATACAGTATCCCCACTTTCAAAGCTTTCAAAACAATCAGAAATGTAAAATAAGATATGGTATAAAGACGACGTAATCTTCTTGTGTCGAGAGAGAAGATAAGATAGTTTAGGTATAATTTTATTGATCCCCGAACTTTTTTCAAGTGAAATTTGAATTCCAAAAAAAGTAAATTAAACCAAAATTGGAGCTCAAGGCTTGCCATTTCGTCAAATTGAGCATAAGCATTTTTTAACCTCAAGTACATGTATGTATCTATGTATATAAGTAAATTTATATATATATAATAGTTTAAAAATTATTACATGCAATTATTTATTATTAATTTTAGTTATAAATGTTATAATCAAATTTTAATATACATATATATGTATATTTATACTAATTATTTGCATGCACTATTTAATGTGTATACCTTTTTATAATAGCAAACAACAGATAATTCTAAGCAATGAAGGATTAATGAACTCTATTGATAACATACATACATATATGTGCGTATGTGTGTATTTATGCGAGTATAGTACAACTATGTTTAAACCACTTCCAACAAACATTTTGCTGCTACTCCAAATACTTCTGAAATTAGCCACACAGTTACCACAGTATTCCCCGGAGTAAAAATTTATTAACCGAAAGATTAAACCTGAACATTTAAAGTATATATGTATATGTATATACAATATACATACATACTTATATCTTCGTACCAAATTAAACGTGTCAATTAAGATGCTAGCATTACTTAATACCTACATAATGGTTCAATGGTTTGTTTTTGTTTGTAGAAAAGCTGATGCAATTTTTCATCAGCTTCTCTACAAACAACAACATTTACACTCATATACATATGTATATGTTTATATGTGTGAAATTGAAACAAGAAATAAATCAAGCACTTCACGTCACAGATAAACGAGACTAAAAATTAACGATTTTTGTTGCGCCTAAAAATATGTTACATGATTTTAAGTATATATCGGAAATTTAATATTAACATACTTTTATGTGGAACCAAAAAAGTATTTTGATAGATATGTAGAATAAAAAATGTGGAAAACGGTTGGCCTCAAGGGCCATCCCTGCAACTTCCCTCTAATTTCATACGCTAACGTTCAAATTTCGCTTTTTTCACTGCTTTTGAGCTCTTCGAACTTTTTCGTTTTCGATATCTCGCAAGTAAATCAACCGATTTCGACCCGGTTTGCGGCAAACGATGTGTTTTTTCAAGGTTTAGAACTGATTAGTTTTTGGTGTTGATCGGTCAAGTCGTTTGGAAGAAATTTGATTTTTCAAAATTTTTATTTTTGAGATTTCTCAAAATCTACTGGTCCGATTGGGTCCAAACTCACACGAAATTCAAGTGCAATGAAACCCTTTGGAATGCCATTTAGTTTATTCAAATCGGTTGAGCCGTTATAAGAGGGTCACATACATCCACACACACACACATACATCCACACATACATACAGACATACGAACATCATCGTAGAAATATTCGGGGAAGCTTCCTCGACCCTCAAAACGTCGAGATCTGTTGAGAACTCGATTTTTGCAAAATGGGGTGAAACCAATATCTACCTGATTTTTAGAAAATTTTCAATTTTCTTAGCATGAAGTTAAAAAATGTGAGTAAATAAATAATAATACTCCTTAATTTCCCACAGGTACAAATACTACAAGTATATATACCATAAAATACTAGTAGATAACTCCATTTGCCATCCGAATTGGAAAAAGCAGACCTCATATAGACGATGAAATGTAATCATTGAATTTTTTCTATAATTTTTATTAAAATCTGCACACGACCGATTCGTAGGGAGCCAACTGGGCGACTGAGCCGTGCTGCACTTTATTTTATTGCATTGACTTCTTTTCCGTGGCCTAATGACTTCTACATAATTATAAAGGTACAAAAAAAGAGCTTTTACGGAGGCGGCATTTAAATTTTGTTCATTTAATAGAAGGACACTTATTGTGGCGTAAGTGTAACAGTTATACATATCGTGTCCGGACATTTCTTGTAAAAAAATTTTAAATAATTTTTTTAACCCTGGGTTTTCTTATTGGCGTTTTAATAAGGATCCCTAACTTTTTTGAAAATATAATATAGCCTATGCTCACCGGAGAGAGTGTAGTTTCCTAACGGTTAATTTTTCAATCCCTCGAGTAGTTCAATTCAATTCAATTTAATTTAAACAAACAACCAATCAATTTTCCCTTTATAATATTAACATAAGACTACGAACCGGTAAAAATTACCGGTTGCATCATTTATAATATTTATACCATTTCCTCTTTCTTTCGTAGTTCTAGTGTTAAGTATAAATAAACAGTCTTCGGCGTCTGAGGAGCTATTATACCAAACAAGATTTGTTGGATAATTGGCTATAGTATCTTAGCAAGTCTAATAGAGGGTCGTAGCATGGTTGCAAATAATGTATTTAAAGTAAACTGAATTAAAATTAAAATTATTTTGATTATTTTGTGCTATCGAAAATTTTAATTAAAAATATTAAAATTTCTAAACACATAAACAAAAATCGGACACAAAACTAAAAATTTTATTTAATTAAAAACACGTTTGAAATTAAAAATCGAAAAAAAAAATTGTTTTGTTCTACCAACTAGCACATTTTTAATAAAACTTCAACAAAGTGCTTGCAACAAACTTGCACCATTATAAAATTCATGTTATATAGCAATGAATACCAATACACAACTGCTTGCACCGAAAGCATTGTAGCAATTAAAAATCGCACTACATTTAAAAATGCCTTATTTGGAGTGCAGACCATACTGAAAAGACCCTAAAGCCTTTCATGATGGCAACTTTGTTGATTGAATCATATTAAGGAATGGGATTGTCTAGATCAGGTAATTTTACTTCTTTAAACACCTGTTTTGTGAGAATATGTATGCCTGAGCATCGACATGTTAACCTGAGATACGAAAAACTTTATCAGCAATTAGAGAGATGGCATGGATTTCCCACTACCTACAAGTCCGAAATTGTAAATATAATGCCCCTGATCTTAAAATATAATTAAAATAATTATTTTATGCTTATACCTATATAAAATGTACATATATTTGTAAATATTTTCTGAAAATTTGAAATTAATCCGGCAAATAGTTTCGGAGATATGAGCGTATTTGTTTAACTTAGTGTAATCGGCTCCCACAATCAAAATTAAAATCAAACTCGTTTTTCTCTAAAAGATGTTGTCATAGTCGGTAAGGCTAATTTTTGCGAAACGGTTGGATTAATCGACTTGAAATTTTCACACAACCCTCTTAGATACATTTAACGAGTAATAATCTAAGTAATAATATTTTTGATAATAATTCGCATTTTTCACAAAAATTACTTTTTTCCTCCGATCATAGTCCTTCGATAATTACATACGAGTATGTACCTGTATTCATCTATTGTCATCTATTGTTTTAGGTTTTTTCTCACCACCAGACATCATTTTTCGGTGGTCCATCTAGAGATCAGTTACGTGATCAATGAAATCCAAAATTTTTCAAAATGAATTACAGATTTTTGAATACATATTAAATATGATTATTATCTTTATTGAATACAAACTGTATGTTTACAAATATAAATTTAAGATTAAAATACAAAAGCTGTTTTTGTTTAAATACACTTTACTGGCCAATGCTGACTCAACTAAGAGTAAGTACATAATATAAAATGCATTACAAAAGATTCAAACTTAAGTTACTTTGTCGTTTAAAAGGCAGTGAAATCGGACCAATTTGTGGCGATCAAACGGCGATGGGCGTGACGACGTGGTGATCCACGACGTATATTTTTCAAGACGCAGCCGAATTCTAAAGTCACCTGTTCGTTATAAAATATAATTAAGATAATATTCGAATAAATGCATGCGGCAGCAAATGAGATAAGGAAAGCAGCAATACTAGAGTAAGCAATGTTTGCAGCGTTTAAATTCATGCAGGACGTTTATACCAAGTGTAGCGTACACGAATCAGCCATTCGGGATAAAAATAACTTACAGATTGGGAATTGGTAACTTTAACTGGCGCACGACCGGGACACATCACAAAGGACTCATGGCCGGGTAGTAATTTAGCATGTAAGCCCCTGGAAGATGGCGGACGCACTAAAGGTGCGGGTGCTAACTGTGCAGCAGGAATTGCTGTGCTTAGGTCCAATGTAGGCAAGGAATTGCTAGGTGTTGAGTTGGCTTCTGATAGAAAATCGCATTCTTTTAGTTCAATAATAAGAATTGAGTATATTTAAAACGCTCACCGTGCACAAGAATTTGGAATTCACAACGGGCGGTAATGCCTTGCTTATTGGTTGCCTCATAGTATACCGGGTGTACACCGGCCTTAAAGAGTTCGCCGGGTATCTATAACCCCAAAAAAAACATGAATAAGTCCACATAATACCTTAATTTGCATAACTATTGTGTACTTACCCTCGATTTGTAGAGTTTTTTGAGCGGACCCAGTGTGCTCTCGAAGCGCGGTTCTTCCCACACCACCGAGCGTTGCAACTGATTCGGGCTTAACGATACCTCGAAGGAACGCGTGCAAAAATTCACGCTAGGCGAGACAGCACGCTCCACTTTAATGATTGTTCGACATCTGGCACGTCTACCGGAAGTGGGGTCTTGACCACGGAATGTCACTACATGTTGACCTGCAGCTAAATGAGCTTGCATATTACGCGTCCAAGCTGGTGCTGACTCAATGTAACGATAATCCATATTAGTGATGGGTTTTTGCAAAATAATATGGGCGGTGCTTGCGCCATCGGCCAGAAAGACGGTGGTATTGCGCGGACATTTAATGTAGGGACGTTGTGAAACAACAGAACTACCAAAACCACTTTGTGTTCTCACTTGTGGTACTATTGGTCTATGGAAAAAGTGATCGACGCCTCCGGAAGAAAGGCGGGGCTGAGAGCCAATAACTGGAAACGTAGGTAACAATGGTGATCTCGCCAACGGTACACACTCAAAGGTGGGATTGCGTGACCAAGTCAGTTCCGCGGTGCAGATGGTAACACTCATGCCGATGGGCACATATCCGGGCAGACAACGCAGCTGACAGCGCTCACCAATGACTGCATTGCCAGTTGTACAGGAAGCGGGTACAATCTCGCCATTAATTGGTTGGAGTAGACGAGGGCAAATGGTAGCTGTAAAACGGCAGAAATGTAAATATATATCTTGGGGACAAATCCACTGCTGATAATACTTACGCACACAGCGGCTTTCAAAGTTATCCCACTGACCGGAAGCATTGCAGAAACGTTGGGTGGGTCCATCCAAGCGATAACCCTGGTTGCACCACACTTTGCAGCGCGTATTATAGAAATGTTTCCGCTTGTGACGATATTTCGTGCAATGGAAGTCACCATTAGCCGGCGCAGTAAAGGGTGTACATTGATCGCGTGCCTCAAGCAAACGTTCGCAAGTGCGCCGATCGCTGGCCAAACGATAACCCAGCGAGCACTTGCACTGAAAGCTGCCAATATGATTAATGCATTCACCGCCTACACACCCACCATTGTCCAGCAAACACTCGTTGATATCCTCACAATCACGTCCATTATGGAGCGCATAACCTTGAGGGCAAACACATTCATACGAGCCGTTGGTATTCAGACAATTATACTGACAAATTCCTGGTGTTGCGCATTCGTCGATATCCACACACTTCGTGGGGTCCACTGAGCTCACTGTAAAGCCAGGCGGGCAAAGTGTCACACAATTGAAACCATCGTCGCTACTTACGCCATCCGAGCAAAGACATTGGAAGCCACCAGCGGTATTATGACATAGATGTGCACAACCGCCATTATTGTAGGAACATTCATCGATATCCACACAAGTTTTACCGTCCACGGAGAGCTCGAGACCGCTGGGGCAAGAACAACCCGTCTCTGGATTACAAATATGTGAGCAGCCGCCATTATCGCGAAGGCAGACATCTATTATAGCTGTATCCAGTGTATCGAGGTCATCGGTGCGCACATCAATTTCAGACGGAGTAGTTGCAATGCAGTTACGTTTGTCCGCAGCCAATGTGTAACCAACAGGACAATTGCATTCGTAACTGCCCAATTTATTGTCGCAACCGTGACTGCAACCATGCTCGCCGACTATACACTCATCCACATCCAAACAGATGGCTTTGTTCTCACCCAACAGATAACCCTCTGGACAAATACACTCATAGCCTCCTTCCACATTTACACAATCATGCGAGCAGTCGTGTCTGCCCAGCACACATTCGTCGACATCTATGCAGGTACGGCGATCCTCACCCAACTGAAAGCCGCCCTCGCAACCGCATTCGTAAGAACCTAGAAGATTTACGCAAATAAAAGTGCAATTACCAAAACCATTGGCGCATTCGTCGATATCGACACAATCGAGACCGTTCGGTGACAACTCATAACCCGCGCTACAAGCACACTCAAAGCGACCAGGTGTATTAAAACAGCGCTGCCGGCAACCACCATTTGCGCGCGCGCATTCATCGATGTCAAGGCAGGTGTGCGCATCAGCAGCTAACGCATAGCCGGTCGGACAACGGCAACTTACACCCACGCCGGGTATGAAGTCGCACGCATGCGTGCAACCGCCATTGTCCTGCAAGCAAGCATTCACCAGCAAGCAAGTGCGGTTGTCCATCGAGCTTAGCGAGTAGCCAGGCGGACAGGAGCACTGGAAGCTGCCAGGAAAATTCATGCAGAAATGTGAGCAATTTCCATTTGAAATGGAGCATTCGTCGATGTCTAAGCATGAGGGTGAAGAATTGTGTATGTTTGAAATAGTTGGTGTTGAAATGATAGATGAGGTTGTGGCAAATGAACTAGCCGGTTGTATGGATGAGAGTAGCGCGCGCAACGAAGCATAAACCGGCGGCAAACCCAATGCAAACCCAGGCGGACATATGCATGTGTACGAGCCATTGAGATTCTCGCAAAGCATACCCGCCCCACAATTATGCAGCCCCAAAGCACACTCGTCCACGTCGAAGCAAAACGATTTGAGCGGGCCATCGAGAAACTCAAAGCCCAGCTCACAGGCGCAATCATACCCACCTGCAAAATTCTTGCAAACCTGATGGCAACCACCATTTCCGATTTGGCATTCGTCAACGTCCAAACACGATTTGCCATCAGCAGCCAATTCATAACCGCTGCGACAGGCGCACGCGCCATCCTCCTCTGACTTGCAAATATGTTCGCAGCCATTATTTTGCTCAACGCAAATATCCTTATACAAACAGTGCAGACCGTCATCAGCCAGCGACATACCCTCCGGACAGATACATTTGAAGCCCACACCTTCGGCAATGCATTGGTGTGAACACTGATGCGCCTCGCAAGGATCGGCGATGTGACAAGCGCCTCTCTCGGCATCGGGTGCACTGCCATCAGCGCATAGGCAGATGAAACCGCCGGCTTTATTAACGCAATTCAGGTCACCACAAACATCCGGTGTAGCTGCACACTCATCGACGTCAGCGCAGACATGTTCGTTGCTGCCCTCGACGAAAACGAAGCCTAACGGGCAGCCGCATTGATACGAACCCAAATTGTTAAAGCACTCGTGTGAACACTCGTGTATACCGTTAGCGCATTCGTCGATGTCTTGGCAGTGATTCGCCTCAAGCACATAACCCGCCGGGCATTCGCAGCTAAAAGCACTGTTATCCTCACTCGGCACACACACGCCAGGCGCACAACTTTCATAGCCAGCCGCCTCCGTGCAAACACTCTCAGCCACCACGCAGTTGTGTAAGTCATCACTCAACTTGTAACCCGCTGGGCAGACGCATTCATAAACGCCACTAGGCAAATCGACACACTGATGTGCGCAACGTGTCTTATTCAATTGTGGATTATTCAAATCTTGACAGGTATCCAGCACACAAGTACGTCGATCCTCGAACAGATGCTCGTTAGGGCCACAAGTACAAATAAACGAGCCAATAGTATTCTCACAACCACCGGTACACAGTTTAGTTGGTACTGCCTCCGCATCGTCTTCATTCTCTACGATTACGTCACACTCGTTGATATCGACACAAGTGCGCTCGTCTTCGGCAAGATCATAACCGCCGGGGCAGGTGCACTCGTAGGAACCGTCGGTGTTGAGACAGTGCTCACAGCCGCTTGTGCCCTCGGCGCATTCGTCGATGTCGACACAATTGTCTGAGTTTTCACCGCCCGCACGATAACCCGCCGGACAGATGGGACCACTTTCCGATATGCGCCGTATACCCTGATCGTCTTCATTTTCATCCTTCGCCTTGTCCTCAGTTTCGACTTTTGTGTCTACTTCGTCGGCGTGCGTGTCATCTTCCTCCGCTTCTTCAACTTCATTGGCTGCCTCTACGCCATCTTCAGGCGTATTCAGCGCCGGTATACAGTGATAGGAGCCATGCGTATTCTCGCAACCGCCGGCGCATTGTGCAGCCACATCGGGTTGCTCGCATTCGTTGATGTCTGTAAAGAAGTGAGATTAATGCGGTCATCGGAAAAAAGAGAGTATAATTAGCAATAACTAGCGTCTAATTAGTGGTGAGTACAGCAAGCATTTGACAAGAATTTCGACACTTTCTTCTCTCAACTAATTTCACTAATCTTTAGCAATTTTCATATCGACTTTCCAAGCTTGTAACGCGGCCCACCTTCACAATTCTTTCCGTCTGTCGATATCAGCCAGCCGCTCGGACACAGGCAATAGATGCGGCCCATCGATGAGAGACATTGATGTGAGCAGCCACCATTGGAGATGGCGCACTCGCCAGCATCGATGCAGGTGTGATTATCGTCGGATAATTGCGTGCCGGCTAGACCTTCGCACGAGCACCTGTAGCCGCCCCATTCATTGTGGCAGGTGTCTTGGCAGGGCCCATGACCGTTACGTAACAAGCACTCATTGATATCTGAGGCAAGTTTGGATATGCGTGTGAGTATTGTGAGTGAGTGCGTGTGACAGATGTTTGATTGCAATACAATGGAAGAGTTGGCGGGAATTTAGCGGGTAATGGATGTGACATGCGGGCGTATGAAATAAATGATATATGAAGCGTTTACAAACTGCAATACAAATTACAGTTAAAATCACGAGTATGCTAGTTAGGACTCACCGATGCATGTATTGCCAGTCAGTGTATCGATTTGCAGACCCTGCTCACAGGAGCACTGGTAAGAGCCGGGTAGATTGTCGCAAAGCTGCTCGCAGCCGCCATTGTCAAGCTGACATTCATTAATATCTAAAAGCACAGATAATATCAATACAATGCTTTACATTATAACATTTCAAGCTCACCATGACAGCTGGCATAGTCGTTGGGATCCAAACTAAATCCATCAAAGCACGAGCACTTTAGACGCGGCTCATTCTCACCCGGAAAAAGCAAACGCTCGCATTTGTGCTCACAACCACCTTTGTCTGCGCCGCAATTGTCATCGAGATAACGTGGCGTGTATGGATCCTGTGTGGGCGCAACAATAATGTTGACATCGGTTACAGGCACGACGGGCTCAGCATTGGTAGGCGCAACGCTCTCTCTTTCTTGAGAAGTATTTTCATGCGCCGCAGTTTCAATTTCATTGCTGATTTCTTGCTCGGTCTCCTTGACTTCCGCGACAGCTGGTGGCGGTGGTGGTGGTGGCGCTACGCGATTATCAGTAGATTCCTGTACAACGTCTTCTTCGTCTTCTTCATCGTCATCGTCAACTGCTTCATACTCGTCGTATTCTGTGCAGGTGAAAGGACTGTGCTTATAAAGAAAAATATATAGTGCTATTTCACTTCATTCGCACTCACCTTCCTCATCCGCATCGGTGTATTCGCCCAACGCCACACAAGTCGGCAATTCGCCTACCCACTTGCGTTGACTACAATATAATGTCGTTATATCGGCGTCCTCCAATTCGAAGTTATCATTACAGGCGTAAAGCGCTACTAGGAAAACATGTTCATCTTTACGCCGACGATCGTAATTCTGCACGAAGCCATGCCTTATATCGGGTGCTGTAATTTTTGCCTGCACGCAAGACATATCCAGTGAGGCGGCCATCTCTGCGGAAATACGTCTGTCTTCAATTATATTCTGCGGCTTCTTCTTTTTGGCGCGCTCAGCATTTACCTCGTTCGAGAGCTCAACTGAAATGAAGAAATTTGGAAATAGACACTTTTATATATATGTATGAAAGATTTGGACAGATTTCATTCATACTTGCTAGAAAACTGCATTGAAAAAAGTTTAAAATAGTCTCATACCTATATCAAAAGAACTGTTCCATGTCAGAGACAGTATTCTAATTATGAGACAGTCTAATAGATTTTGAATATTGCAAAAATAATTGTATTTGTGTTATACCATTCTATATTCCATTGCCAAGTCCAAGTTTTCCTATTTATGAAGGTTCCATTTACGAGTGGTTATTACTCTAAGGTACCCTTTGTCAACTAAAAAACTTTCCCATACAAGGATCTGAGTTTAATCGGTCTGTTTGTATGACAGCTATATGCTATAATTGTCCGAAAACGGCGGTTCCGGTATAAACGGTTTGTTGAATGTGTGTAAAATTTCAGATCGATATCTCAAACACTGGAAGACTAGTTCGCGTATATACAGACGGACAGATATACTGATAGACAAACGAACATGCCTCGACTCAGCAATTTTTTAAAATACTGCGCCGTAGTTAAAAATAATACTTATACATACATCATTACATACCTTTTTCACATTTTGGTGGCTCGGCATCCCAGAGATCCGTATTCACATCGCACAGCAACTCTTTGCTACCACTCAACTCATAGCCCTCCTCGCATTCATATATGGCGCGCACAGCGTCCTCTTCATTGATCTTTATTTGTACAGTGGAATGTTCCGCATGGGGCGCAATCTCACAGTCCTGATGGCGCGCCAATGACACTTTTTTAAACAAATAATAAGGAATCATATAAAAAAATAAATATTGATTTAAGGTTATGTTGATTTTGAAAAGCATTAACAAATAATCTTAAAGAAATAAGCATAATGCGTTATGGATGTTCAAAAATAGCTTGGCACCCACTCGTGGTGATGCTCTTAAGCCCATACACACACACACACACTAACATATGCATATTTAAATTTAAAAGTTTCTCGAGCCAATTTTCATACTGATTTATGTCTTAAAGTTTTTTTAAATTAATAAATGCTTTTTGATTGGGAAGATGTAGCGAATATATATAAACAGAGATACATATACAAGTACTTGTCAGTATATATGTCTAACTGAAGTGCTTGCCGGCCGGCTTATACAACATTGATCTATTTTATTTCATTCTTTTAGCTCTCAGTTCGGTGACAGGATTTGTTCACTTTGTAGCAACCAAATCGTAAATAATGAAATTCTTAGCTTTTTTCTTTATATTTCTTGTTATTTTTATTCTTTTTTTATTTATATAATACGCGTACACAAAAATAAATTTTAAAATGGAAAATAGTTTAATATTGTGTTCTGATTTATAATCTAAAATTAAAATGAAGTTAGCACTCTTTCGGTTTTCAAAAAATTTTATATATAATCGCTTTAATATTAGAAGTACGTTTGTAGGGGATGTGCGATCTTAATTGCTTTGAAAAAAACGAACGCCGCATTTATTAGTCACAGTAAAAGTATCTCTCGCTATTTGTCTGTCTGTCTGTCAATCGGTCTGTATATACGTTAGAATATTGTACACGTCCCTTTCTTTCCAAGAAACTGCTCGTTTGTCGGAACTGGTGATATCGGACCAATATAGCATATAGCTGCCAAAAAAGCTGATCGATAATAATCAACGTTTTGTATGGAAATCTTTATTAATATGAAAAGATATCTTCACGAATTTCGGTATAGATTATTGGCCAAGACAACGCTACATATTATTTAGATCGGAGTACTATAACATGCAGCTGCCATATAAACTAGTCGTTCAAAACCAAATTAAAAATCTTCATGAAAGCTTTTTTTCCTAATTAAGTAATCTTAATTTGACATAAAGGTTGTTTATATCAATTAGCGTTGCCACTCTCAAAAAATAACGGTATGAAGCTGTAACATAAGCTTATCGGTATTATTATTGCAATCTCTAATAGATCCTGTGCAACACTCTTGGGCGCTTGGTTATAAAACTGCGTGTTGACGAGCTTTCGCTCATTTCAATACCAAACAACGAATAGCGTTAAACACAATATTTTTGACGAGGTGCAATTTGAGTTAAACCGACTCAACGACTATATTCAATGATGAAGCGTTGAAACGATTTATAGTTAAAATTATAGCGGTTTTGGTGTTTCCAAAACATGTCTCACCAACTCAATCAATTAGTAAATATTTACATGCCGACATATAATATGACACAACCCTTATACTACTTTCTATGAAATATTCTATAAAGTTGTTTTTCTAAGATTTCTTAAATAGTATTATCAACTATTTTAAACAGCATACCATATATTATATGATTCAATGACCCGAACTGACTATAAACATAACTACATTTTCACGTATTTTAAGACAAATTTTTATTATCGCCTTGAAAATAGACTTCTAAGTCAATACAAGCATGCCAATTTTAATAAAATTTTCTATACATTTGTCACAAACCCCGGCTGGAAAGGCCTTCAGTGCCTTCAGTGGACTTTGGGGTTTTCGGTTTCGACTCATTTTTGGTTTACCATTCGCGAGATTGTTGAAACAGTTTCGACGTCATATTCATAAACTCACGTCTCCATCAGTAATGATAGGTTTGAGCTAAACCACAGTCGATCCTTAAAATATGTTGAGATCCTCTGGTATCTTTCTGATGTCATACTAGCCACTTTGCACACTAGAGAGACAATAACCGCGACTACATAACAAATCGGATCGACCTACTATATTTTTACCGACTGAGATAGATATTTAAAAAAAAGTTCAATCAAAAATATTTTATATTAATATTTAAAAAAAAGAAACGTTTGTGAACTATAAGGAGTAACCTAATCCAAAAATGTTGGCATAAAAATTAATTTAGTTTTATTTATATTAAAGAAAAAAATATTAAGTTGTTGTTCAATATTTGGAGATGCTTCGTAAAGAGGTCGTCTTTAATATTTACTGCAGAAATATAGAACTTGATGTCTTTTAGTATCCAGATATTTTTATGTGACAATAAACTGATGACCATAGGCTATAGCAATCAAACTGGAACACGAATCATCAATACCAATACAAGGTGCGTTCCAAAGTAAACAAGACTTTAAAAAAAAAAGACAGCACAAATGGTTTTATCGGCAAAATCAATTAATTTTATTAAAAATAGTCTCCTTCTGCTTTAATACAGCTTTTTGCACGGTCCAAAAGCATGTCCAACGAGTGTTTTGGCTCGTTGCCCGGTATGGCTGCCAGTATGCCGGTACAAACCTTTTGAATGGTCTCCACGTCTGCATAACGCTTTCCTTTCATCGGCAAATGCATTTTTCCGAAAAGGTAGAAGTTGCACGGTGCAGGTTCAGGTGAATACGGGGAGTGGTTGATTGTTAAAATGTGATTTTTGGTCAAATAATCGTCGATCGATGAGACGGCGCATTATCGTGCAACAAACGCTAACTTCCATTTAACATTAACGTTTTGGCCGGGTGGAACAAATTCTTTGTGAACAATACCCTTGGAATTATAAAAACAAATCAGCATTGTCTTCACTTTTGACTTCTCCAGGCGCGATTTTTTGGGATTCGGCTTATTTCTCATTTATGTCCTCACGACCACTTTGAAAACTTTGAAACCACTCGTACACCCTGCTACGGGATAGGCAATCACCGCCATAAACTTGTTTCATCAATTGCCAATAGAGTTTTGAAATAGTTGAATTTGAATAGATACAGGTTCTCACGCTATTGTTAGTGGAATGAAAAAGCGATAATTGCGATTGATTTCAGATATATCAGACGTGTGTATAAACAGACAGACGAACAGCCGGAAAGGCGGGCATGGGTAAATCGACTTTGCTTGTCACGCTGATCATTTATATATACATATACTTCATAGGGTCTCCGTTGTTTTGTTCTGGGTGTTACGAGTACAAACGTCGTATCAAACTTACTCTATTCAGGATATAAATATGTGAGTTCAATTTCTTTTCATTCACCTAAAAAAAATTTCATTCGCTCGTCGTTATTTAAAAATACACTTTCAGTTCACCGTAACCGTTATATATTGCGTATAAATAAGAATAATACTAGTTCCTCATATTCTTAGATCATAAAATGTACAAACGGTACTTTTCTAAAATGGTCTATGAGACCACAACGCTTCATTCAGGGTTAATAAAATAGTGGAATAAATTCAATGATTGAAGACGCTCACTTACCACCAATTAATGCCACGATCGCGAGCCAAACGAGTTGACAGCGCGCTGCCATGCTGCTAATCCTTCGCGCTTATCCAAATCACAAAAGTATAACGAGCGAAAAGCCAAATCACTCGGGAAAAAATCACTTTAATGCGCGAATGTCAACGATTTTAAATCATTGCCAGATTTATTGGCAACACCTTGAATTCTACGGAAATTTTATAAATGAAAATAACACACACATAAATTTTCTTAAACTTTTGTCATTAAAAATAGCTGCTTCTTAAAAGGGGGAAATTTTGAACAAATATGTAAATATGCACTTCACTTTTTAATTGAAAGAGCAGAGTGATTACACAGGAAGTGACTAATATCACATCTATATAAAGATATGTAAATAATTAAAAAAAATAATAATAATTTTTCAAATGAAAGATATGTACTATATATAAATATATATAATATTTATACACATAATATATATTATTTCACTTTTCTCTTCAAATCACTAATTTTATATTTTCACACTTCCACAGGATATCCGAAATCACTAGTTTACTTACGCACAACTTTTCTTAGTCACGGCCACGGAAAGACTGAAGATTTACTTCGCCACACGATTTTCCACAACCACTGATAGTTCTTTCAAATAATATATGTATATAATATATAGGTACACATACACACACACACACATCCACTTGATCGGCAGCCTGCCGCCTTTAAAAACCAAACAACAAGGAAACATTGTCTCCGAAAACCATAAAATAATTCACAACATGGATTTTCTCTCGGCGGTCCGCCTGCCTTGACTCTCCGCAGCATCCACGGAGCAGCAACAGAGCCAAGTGGTGCATGGTGCCCTCAGCGTTTTATGCCATACGCTGCTAAGTAAAGGTGCATAAGTGTGTTTATGTCGCCGGCGATCGCGCCAAAGATCTCTAAGATGTTTCGCTATTTATGCGACAAAACTATTTTTAACACTTTCCGATGGAAAGGCGTGTATGTTTGTATGTGCATAAGCCATAAGGCAGTGTATCTGTACACATGTACAAGTGTGCGTGTTTGTAATTATAAGCGGTTGTCGCTGTTCGGAAAATATGAGTGGATATAAAAAAGTCATTAAGCATAGAAAATCATATAATGGAAATACTTCATTCGTTGCGATTTGCGTTTGTGCTTTACGGTATCCAGGTTGCTGCCAGCGCTACGTATGAACTTTTGGTCCCGCAACTGCTTTGATTTAGTTCGCCATAGTATTTGTGATATAATTCAAATAATAATGCATGAGTATAATTATGATTATTGAAATCATAATATATAGATTAGTTAATATTTGTTTCGATACATTTAATTCCTCGGAATGTCTATAATAACTCATTTTTAGAAAAATCTAATAAGCATTTTTTTATTCCATAGAAATTACAAGTTACAATAACTTATCTCTCTTGATGCTCAAAATATTTATTTTAACGTCGACCAAAATTACAAATAACTGGCATAATGAAATAGAGACAGATTATCAAGCGGATATAGTACCTCTTAAGTGAATTGTCCATTCGCTCTTTTGATTGAATTGAACGTTGTTAATGCTTTAAAATGTAATTTTTTGAGAAAAGAATAGGGCTTAGGCAAATCGAATTCAGCTGGGGAGAAGCGATGAATTTTGGCATTTTTGACATTGAAAAATATGCTCACAAACTTATTATATAATATATGTGATAAAATTAACCGGAAGTGCGGATATATTTGCATATATATATAATATGTTCAAAGATTTCTTACAATACCTTATTCCGTAAAAGATGGATTTTCACCTCAGAAATCTCGAATACTGACCGATATGTACGGAGAAACGGATATTATTAAATTCAGTATATGCGGCCTAGAGATGGATGGAAGCGAATTTCGACAATTTTTTTAACATTTTTGTTACATTTTAGTGATATAGTAGACCCAAGGAGTTGTTTCAGTAATAATTTGATAGTACTTCGGTTATATACAATATTATATTTCATATTGTAGTTATATTACTTAACATATGACAATTCTCCCACGCGTTACCACGTCGTTAGTAAATTATTGGAACTAATCTATGGTATGTGTATAGTACATCTAGATTATTACTTATATAATACCATCGTATGGAAACCGATCGTTGTTCGGTTGAGATTTATCTACTAGTTTACGATATATACATTAAATAATATATACATTACATGTAAGCAAGTCCATGGTAATTTTTCACAAATTTGAAACCACATCTAACGAAAAATTTTTAGTTAAAAAAAGACTATTATATTTTATGTGACAGTTGTTAGAAAAAAGAGTGAATTTTAACAAAACTTTATAATTTAAAACACTTATATTTTAATAAGCTTAATTAAAACTAAAAATTTGCTAAAACAATGAGTTTTAACTTCTATCTAACAGCTAAAAATTTTAAATTATTATTATAATTTTTTTTTTTAATTATTTATATTGTCGCATGACTGCCTTCCAGAAGGTTCATAGTTTTTGTCTCGGAGGAGTCCAACTCTAAAATAGTTAAAAGAGCTAGCAACAATCATTGCACGACTGATCAAGCGCAGTCCACTCCATATGAATTCTTGTTGGTATAAGCAAGAAATCGTTTAATCCTTCCAGCTATTTGAAGTTGGCTTAGAACTTATGGAAACCTATATTTCTTGGATTACCTTACATAATACCATCTGGCAGAAAACTTACCAGTAGTACTTTTAATATTTCTCAAAAATTTGTCTTCTCTTTCATTATTATTATTTGTGTTTTATTATTATTTTTTTTTCTAATACATATTATGTGTAGCACCTTTTCATTCATCTACGTAAATATTAAAAAGTGAGAAAATTAACAGTACGTTTGAAATAAGTGCAGTGATACTTAGTTATTGATGTAAGCATAACTTAAGCAGCTGTATTATCGAAATCCTACATTAGTCGTAGTTATGTATTTCCTTTTATGTCCAGCGCCAGACCATTGATATGCTTAAAACACGTTTATTTTCCCTACATTCATTTAAATGTAAAATACAGGGTCTGCGTACGCTTGAAATGATGATTGAGACAAGAAATACATGTCATATTTATACTATGTGTTAATTTTTTTTTAATTTCACCAACAGAGATTTTGTAAAAAATACATAACATTTATATATTCCAGGCAAACAGAAAAAGTCGACTCATGTTAAAGAAATACTATTTTTTTGCAAATTTTAATTTTATTATTTAATAAATTCACATCCAAGGAGTTGTGCACTGCACCGATCGTAGCGATCTTCCAAATTTTCAGCATCATTTCAGAAGCATGATTTGTTCTTTCATTATCGCCCAATTTTTTTCCAGAGAGCATTATCGTGAAAGTATTATAAAGTTATCAAAAAAAAGTCACTTTGAGGGCACATCGCGAGTATATGATTGAAAGTATTTTGAATCACGACACCTACTTAACATGAACCTTTCACATACCCAAATATTCAGAACGATATATGCAACAAGCTCTTTTAATGTTTTTAGAACATAAATTATCTCGATGAAGTTAATTTCACGGTCATCCAATAATAATTTTGTGGATTATTTTTATGCTTTGGTTAGTAACAGCCACTTTCGGGTTCTATGACGAATGAGTTTGTGAAACATTCACCTCAAGAGAAACTTGTGAAAAACTTGTACCAGTTTTTTGCCAATTAATTTGAAGTTTTCTATGAGAGTGATATTATAATATAACCTTAAAAATGGGAACAAGTTATCGAACAATACGATTCATATTTGACCCAAATCGGATCATGCTAAGTATGCTAAACAAAAATTCAATGCAAAAATTAGTAGATTTTCTTTGACTAGAGCTTAACAATATAAATATTCTATGCAATATCTAAATTTTTTAGCGTATAAGTTTCTTAATTTCTAAAAAGACTTTGGGTTGCTGATGAAATATTTGCTGTATCACTTTTTTATATCAAATCCAATGGGGAAAAGTAGCTCTAAAGTGAACTAATTTTTAATTCACCCTGCACCTTATTATAATCCATTTACATTGCCAACCTACTGCTGCCTACTAGTGGCATAACTCTCATATTTTTCTATAATTCTGTGATATCGAAAAATATATGTCAGTTTTTCTGTTCCAACTCCATCGTATCATAACTTAGAACACTTTGTATAGAAACAAACAACGGCCGATTCCACTAGGTCTCATCTGCGAAAGCAACCAAATGTGAAAGATCGACCTTAAGCGGCGTAATTTATATCTCATTCAAGCGTTAAGTGTTGTAAATAAAAAGTATGTACGTTTTATTTACAATTCATTTTGTTGTTGCTATAACAACTAAGTTCAACATATTCGCCAGCATTTCTAAGCGCTTTGCTTGGTAAACATAATTCTGTATTGTTGTAGTTGTTGTTTGCGTTGTTTATTTCAATTCTATTTATTTTCTTATTGTTAGATACATATCGCTGCATGTATATGCGTGTGTGTGTGGGTTTGTTGTTGCGCGCGTTTAATGCCAAATATGCAGTTATTACGCTGCTGGCGCGCCCACCTACGCGTATACGCGACTCAAATTAGAACCATTCAAGTTGAAAGCGCAATTTGCGAAATTTACGACATGAATGAAAACACTCTCGTTTAGGTTCGTTTGAATGAAACTATTTAACTTAGTAGGCGCCATTATCTGAATATTTTCTACCGGTATATTTGTTGCTGCACGCGTTCAGAACTAAAATATATTTTCTAAGCTTTTTCTTGTTTTAATTTCGCATTTTCACTTTAATTTTATATTTACGCTATCTGATATATTACTTTTTTTTAAAAAGTTTAAATTTTATTGTCAAACGATTTCTTCTTGTCTTATTGGAATACAATATAATTTAACTTGCTTCCTGCTTTTAACATATCTGAGTATGATAGCAAGAAAAAAAAGACTGCCTTTAATAAATATCGTTTCCTTGAACGAAGAAAAATCCTATTTCAGCTCGCGCCTTTTATAAATAAAACATTATTTTTCTTCTTCTGGATTTTACTCTGTTCTGGTCGTATGGTTTGGTCAGATCCCACTTTTTCACTAATTTGAAACACAAAGAAACCAGTTATTCTACATTTGTTATAACTCCATTAGAGTGAGCTTACACGCGAAGACTTTTGTTGCTGATAATCGGGAAAATTTCTTTTGGTGTTGCCCATTGAATGCTCACGATCGACACAGGTCCGGCAAGACTACGTTCAGACGAGGATTTTTTTTGTAGCTGATTATCAGCAAATTCTCTTTTGGCGTCGCTCATTGCGTTGACACGACGACACGAGTCCGACATCGTGAGTCGAACAATTCTCTGCATTTTCTTTTATTCATTCCCAGATTCTTGTTCGCTTTATGTACGTGGTGCACAAAAATAATTTCACTGCCTAATTTTTATCCTTATCTAAGCTTTTCTAAAACATTTATATTCCTTGCATACATATTTACATAATTACAAGCATAATGTAAATATTCATTTGAAGTTAAGCGCTGCTGCAACCATGTGAGGAATTTTAAAATTGCGTGGCAACGAACTGTTCCGAACAAGAACATAAAGCCTGCCACCCGAGCACAATCGCTACGTTCCTTCGTCTTTCCACGTCGTTGCCTCGCCTACGAAAATCGATTTGGGCGAAAAAAGACTCCTCTTCTGAACATGGTCCAATTCGTGTCGAACAATTTTCCGGCGATGGAAAGAATTTCAAGGTGAAAACGAATGCCGAAAAAACAAACAAAGACACAAAGCATGTCATTCAAGCACAAGCTACTCAAAAAAAGCATTCTTGTGTGAACTCAGTCTTATGATTCCTAAATATCACTCTGTTGTTCTAAATTTTATATAGATACAGATTCGCGCTTAGTGGCAGTATAACACCATGAGTTTCTCAGTGAAAAGGCTGAATTTTAGTTATCTGGAGGATCACTGTTAAAGTTTACAGCTCCATAAATGGCATATTCGCTTAAAGTTTGTTTTAACTTTGGCTCAACTATACACATATAAATTCTTATTTTCTCCATTATTGCCTAACTAATTCGAAGTAATACAATAGAAATTCTTTGGCGATAGCAAATCTATGCTCATTATTTTTTTTTCTAAAACTATCTGTTTTTCCTATTTATGGAATATATGAACGATTTTAAGCTTACGGAACGTCGATAATACTTCAGTCGAGTTATCATAACCGAAACGGTACAAGAAGAATTAAGGTAATCGCTCGAAAAGACGTCATCTTTTTAGTATTGAAGAACACAGCTTAGACCTATAAAAATTACACATTAAATCGATATCTGAAAAAGTTTTTGAGCTAAAAGCTTTTAAAGTCGCTCAGTTAAATCAGCTCTATCAAATCATCTTTAAACGAGTTTGTCTCAAAACAGCATTTTTCGAATTTGATACAGTGATTACTCCGAGAAAAATAATCCGATCACTATCAACATTTTTCTGCTTGTTCTTCATATAATTCTCCATACAATGATCTACCATTTTCTTGATCTGATCAAAAACCGATACCGGCAAAAACTTTAGGTAAAATTAAATTTTTATTAAAACGCCGCCATTTTGTCCACTTTTAATTTTTTTCGACCGTAGGTCATTGTGCAAACAACATCTTAATGAACAGGGTATATTAAGTTTGCCATGAATTTATATCAGCTAGAAGGCAATGTCGTAGACTATATAAAATATACATATGAATGATCAGCAAGACGAGCTGAGTCTATTTACCCAAGTGCGTCTGTCTGTATGTATATAAACGAACTAGCCCCTCAGCTTTCGAGATATTGATCTGAAATTTTGCACATGTCCTTTTCCCCAAGAAGATTTGTTCGGAATGGCCTATATCGCACCACTATAGCATGTATCTCCCATACAAACTGAACGAGGTTAGGTTTCATCACGGAAATGGCCAGAATCACTGCAGATCGCGTTTATTTCGAAAACTACTTAATTTATTTCTTTAAAAATTTCACACACAATACTATGTGTACCCTTAAGAAAAAACTTCACAGGGCTTCACACAAACAAATAGGTAATTGACATACGCTGATAATATCACTTGCTGGAATTAACAGATGTTGAACGACTTTAATAGCGGAATTATTGAAGCTCGAATTATGCGCTTTCATATAAGTTTCCTAAGAACAGTATAATATAGTAATAATAATATGTATTTTATAATAATAAACAATTATTTTTAGTTATACAATATTAAAGTGTTGTTCTTGTTCTTACCTCTTAAAGAGCCTTCTTAAATAATAGTGCTTTCGGAATTTCAGAAACATTAATTTTATTTAACTACAATTACATTTATTATTATTTTGCGTTTGTTAATTACAAAAATGTCGAAAAAAGGCAAATAAATCAAGTGCTTTCGTGTTGTTGCATTACAACAAATACTTATAGTAACAGAAGTGCTGTTAAATCGCAAAAAAATCAGAAAATAAAATTCAACAAAGAACTTTTCGCAATTTAGGTGTGCGCCAACTTATAACACATACATATGGTACATACGATTATATATACACATAAAATATGTATATACAAATACGAACACATACAAATAAGAAAATTAACAACAGCTCTGGCATTCACCGACTTCGTTTTCGGAATTTCTGTGGATACAACCACAAAAACCACAACAAAAATAGCGAATTTTCATTTGCTAGTGTTAATTACAACAACTGCGAGATACAGAAACATCCTTTCGTCTTCACTTAGTTGCACATCAGTTCTTAATGCTCAAATATGGCAGGCCCACCTGTCGCACATAAACGCTGCGTTCGACTTGCGCTGGTGGAGGACACTTAATGGTCAAGATGCCATCAGAAGTGAGTTCCGAACGCACATCGTTTGGATAGAAGCCACGTGGCAGGACGAAACGTTTGACTATATGTCGTCCCACATAGTTATCACCATCTCGCCGCTTGTCGTGTTTCGCCTCCACCACCACGGTGTCGCCCACTGTCTTCACCTGAATTTCGTAAGGCTTGAAAGGATGCACATCGACGTTCGCCTCAAAGCCATCCTTGCCCACTATCACACGACTCAAATCGGGTGATGAGTTGAAACGTGCCAAACGCTTCCAGTACGGCAGGTCCCAGTCGACGAGATCCAAGTCACGCCAAAGGCGTCGCCTATAATCCCAATAATCCCAATCGTTGAGATTTGTAGACGATGGTACAACGGCCATGGCTTAGGCAGAAAAAGTAGCAAACTCTTTTTTTCTTTTTTTTCTTTTTCTTCTTTTACACAGTACACAGCACCAGGATGTGTGTGAAGGATAACTGTATTTTTTTTTCTCCTTTGACTCAAATAAATCTTTTGCACTATTGCTTGACTACTTGTTGCTCTGAATGTTCTTTCTAAACTGTGCTGCTTTCTTTAAGTTCTTCTTTTGATTCTTAATAGAAATAAATTCCACACTTTTCACTGTTGCTAATTTTATGCTTGATGGCGTTTGCTCACTCCGGCTCCCGGGGATACGGCTGACTACGTCCGAACACGATTTCCGCGCTGTGCAAATAAACTCAGCTTAGGTTGGGCGCAAGCTTTTATAGACATATCACCGTGCAATTAGCTATGTAATAGCTGAAGCTGTGAGTTCTTCGCTGTTTGTAAAGCTGTCGAAATGTGTGTTTGTGTATAATTGGTGTTCGCTTTTTATTTCAATGTCAATTAAATGCGCGTGAATGAAGTTGATTTGGCTCTGTTATGTCTATTTTAATACATTTTTATAAATTTTTTGTTATTTTCGCTGGAATCGTATTTATTTCAGTTATATTTCGATGAGACGCATACAAAATGAAGAAGTTTGAATATTTTTATAAAAATTAATTAAAATTGTAGCAGAGATCTTTAGAATACTAGTAAAAAAACGGTGCTTATCATTTAATTCCAATAATTATTCAAAAATTTGTATATATACTTTTAAATAGAGTTAATCGACTGTAGAAGGAGATTCTTCTAAACCCCTTTTAGACTCCCACTGATATTATTTCAGAACATCAATCGCTTTCTCAGTTAACGAAAAACTTTAACCGCGCAGTATATTTTTAATACTTATACTGAAGTAGGGGTCGGGAAATAGGATTTTTGAATGGATTGAATGTTTGGCATAGTAGGAGGCATAGTTTATTGGTGTGAAGAATGAAAAGTTGATGATTATTATGTTTCTGTTCTTGAGCAGTATTGTTAGGCACAATCTGAAGTCTTCAATTTATATGTTCGTGCGAAGTTTGAAAATCTTCTTGTTGGCATCAGAGAGATAGCAGGGGTTCTCAATATCTCTTATGGCACGACTCAACACATTTTGGTTAAAGTTTTGGGTATGAAGCGTGTCAATGTTAGACTCGTACCAAAATACCTGAATCTTTTACTTTTTGGCCAACAATCTTTCGAATGGTACTCCAAAAATAAGCCGAAACCGATAAGGTCAAAATACGCCATTCGGCCATGCCAGTCGAGGCTTATAACAAGTGTATGGCAAATTTTACTACGCGTTGACATCGTTGTATTGGCTCAGAAGCATATTTTAAAGGCAATAATAAAGAATTAGAATACGTGAGAACGTAGTTTTTTTTGTCAGTCAAATTCGATCAGATCGTATACGTATATTATATTTAAATACACTAATGTTTTGCATAAAAATTGTTGGCCAATTAGTTTGGCATCTATATTAGCCAAACAATGTAGACATTCAGTACCAAATCGGAAATGATCACCGTACTACTCCAATGTTTCGGTGGAACTTTATAGAAAGCTTGTCAATGTCTACATTGATCATGTGGGGTATTCTTCTTCTCTTATTTAGAGTCCCGGCTGTTTAGCCCAATCGTGCCTTAAAAATACATAAGCATTTATGATATATATTTTTTCTGAGAGACTAAATTCCCCTAAACATAGCATTGATCAAATAACGTGACAGAATGTGATTACCATTTATGTTTTCACTTTTATCCAAATTTCCACGAGTACCCATATATACTTCTCCGGCTTCTCACCCGGTAATATTGATATCTGTGGCAAGATCTTAAGAATGGAATAGTTTGGTATCTATAGTTTTTTATCTTCATCTTATAAAGACGTACCATAGACTTATTAGGCAAAATAAACACCAAACTTATATATTTAAAAAAAACTAATTTTTGCTATGAAGCCAATCGGAAACACGAATATTAGGCAAATTAAAAGACAATGAAAATGTATATAGGCACTACCATTTTCGAGAGTAAAACCCAAAATTAATGTTATATATAATTATAAGTATAGGTATATGGGCCTCTTGGCATACACGTAAACGTGCCTTCACTGTCACAATAGCTCTCACAACCAGATTTAAAAGCAATTCGCACTTGATACAAATATAGACAGAACTTGTAAACATTTTCCTAAATGCAGACACACACTCGCACATGCGCAAATAAATTTCAAAACAAACCTACTACTCAATTTCCAAGCGAATTTATTTAATATGCATATAGAGCGGCAGTGAGATTAAATATTTGTAAGTGGTTTATTGTGATTTCTATTACCGGACTTGTTTATATTTATTTATTGTTAAATTCTAATTTACATTCTCATTTCGCCAAGCAGTCGGTAGCGTTTGTAAATGGCCATTCATGGCAGCAGCACATTTATGGCTGTGACCCGCCCACGACAGAGTTGTGACGACACTTGTCGATTGTATGTTGTTGCCCCGTTCGGCATATTAGGGTTGGCATTGCCGTATAAGTTGTGCTGATTAAATATTTCTTTATTGTAATTACCTGCGATATTGCGCTTTAATCGTTTAGAAATTTTATGGCGTAGCATTACATCTGCCTTGAAATATTTCAAATGCGCTTGAAGATATGCAAGCCGTATTAATGTAAACATATGTAAAAATATAAAAAAAAACTTAGAATATAATACCTTTCACAAATACAACATATTCCATAAAAGAACTTGATTTTTAACGATCAGTTTGTATATCAGCTATATGTTCGAATGATCCGATATCGCTGGTTGGGACAGATGAGCTGCTTTTTGAGGAGAAAAGGACGTGTGAAAAATTTCTAACCGATATCTCAAAAATATATATATACAGACAGAAGGACAGACAGACGAACATGCCTAAATTTACTCAATTCGTCACGTTGATCATTTATCATATATAAGTACTTTGTAGGTCTTCAACGTTTCATTCTTGATGTTACACTTAGCCATGTTCGTCAAGGTTTTTTTTTTGTTTTTCATTTGTCTATATCTTGAAGATATCTCATAAAATAAAAAAAGTTTTCTGTACAAACGCTTGATTCCGATCGTTCCATTTGTATTAATTATTGTGCGCTTTGACCGCGGTAACCATACGAAGAGTATGCGAGCGGAAATAATACAGTAATAGTTGAGTGAAAAAGATATTGACCAGTTCCATATATTTTCTATGATAACAATATTTGGTTTATTATTCAAGAGAACGATTTTAAATTAAATGGAAAGGTGTTTGAGGTAATATGGCAAAAAATTAACCACGTCCTCGTTTCTGCAGAGTTTCTCTATGTTAAAAATATTTATTTTATAGCAAAAATAGCAGATAAGGCCAGTTACCTTTTTATACTCTCGCAACATATTGCTACAGAGTATAATAGTTTTGTTCAACTAACGGTTGTTTGTATCATCTAAAACTAATCGAGTTAGATATAGTGTTAAATATATATAAATGATCAGGATGAAGAGAGGAGTTGAAATCCGGGTGACTGTTTGTCCGTCCGTCTGTGCAAGCTGTAACTTAAGTAAAAATTTAGATATCTTTACTGAAGTTACATTAATCAAAAACAAATATTGTAAATTGCCATAACTAAGCTACACAATTAGATACAAGACTGTTATTGGGTATACAGGATCAAATTAGGGAGCGGCATCTGCAATTTAAAAGTTTTTTCATTTAATGTACATATCTCCTAAGCCACTGAAGCTATAATAACAAAATTCTTCACTAAACACGCCAGAGTCATTGAATTTTAACTTTGGGATGGTATAAGATATATTTTTCCCATACTAAAATCAAGATAACATGTTACATACATATTAGGGCGGGCCAAAAAAACTATTAATTTTTTTTCCTTTGATTATGTTAAAGTTTGAGCCCTTAATATATTATTAGCATTATGATTTTTGAGTTCCCATATAAAGCACTTAGAAATATTTTCTTATTTTGTTTGGATGCTTAATGCAAATAACCTCAAAATCATAAGATATCTTATTTGATGACACTTGTTGTTTTTATTCGATAAATTTATAGACATTTTGCTTTTCACACAGCACGAATGAAAAAAGCGGTAAACAGACATTTAATAAACGAAACGAAAAAAGTTTAGGCATACAGTGTGCAATAAACTATATATATATATATATGTATAACGATATATTATATATGGATACGCTAGAGTAATGACTAGGAGGTAGAGGTTTTTTCACAACTCCGAAAAATAGCAAATCGGAGAATCTAAAATCGCTGGAATTGAAACTTCTTGGTTCGATATTTTAAACAGTATCAGAACCCATTTTAAGAGTTATTTGCGATATATTTCGGGTTGATGGCGCTTATTTGTCTAATTAGTTAAAATTGATGATGGAAGAAACAGGCTAATGAGCAAATGGTTCCAAGAACGTAATAAAAATCACAATTGAAAATGTTCAAGTAATTATATGAGCAAATAGTTGAGTATTAAAACTATAATAATTAAATATTTTTGACGTATATTTTACCCTTATGCACAATTGTTATATTTATAATATCTCGTATCATCATTATATATTTACTATTATGACGTTAGTAACAGTGTGTGCTTTAAATTGAGTATCCCAACCAATTATCAGCTACAAAGAACTTTTAATGTCGTTCACTTATATTAACAATACGAGAGTATGCAATAAACGCAAGTGGTCCTTGGGGAAATTAATAAATTAATAATATATTTAAGTTAATTCAGAGCAGCTGTCTTCTTGCTTTCGCCATTGCCAGCTATTCTCAAAAGACCTCAATCTACTATATAATGGAGAAAAATTTTCAATATGTACATTACAATAAAATATATATACATATTTTTATATACGTGATTGTTTTCCAGCAGCGCATTTGAATAAAACTCATAAAGAGTCCAAAAATGGTTGAAGAAATTCCATGTACTAATGTATATCTGTTATTCTATGGGTTATATATTATATATAAACATATATATATATATGCAAATTCAGTCTCTACTTTTATCTAATTCATATTCAAGTGCTCAATGAAAATTCCTTTGCGGCAACAAAAACAACACCCACAGTTAATTATAAATTGCAAAACAACGCCCAACTACACGATGTGGCAACAGCACGCGCCAAACGAACTATCGTCAATGGAATGCTGGTGAAATTTTATTAATTACATCTAAGTTGAATTGGATTTGAATTACAGCACAAAATTTTCTATATTAGGTCGTACAACTAGTCGATTTTGATGAGATATCATCCACAAAATTTTTCTCAGTGTGTGCCTTTATACCATGATATCATCTCTTCAATGTCGGAAATTTTGAATAACATTTTCACGGTTCACAAATTTTAAGACATAACTCTTACAAAAAGTTTAAAAAAAGCAGATTGTGCTTTATGGTAGATAAATAATTTATTTAGAGCTGAATGATTTTAATAATCAACTATGTTCGTCTTAGGTTCAGCATTAGGTTAAATGATGAGAACAGATAACAAAACGACTCTTAGATCATTCTGATGACGAATTCTGCAAGTATTCTTTTTTTTTTTTGGCTTTGCCTCCCAACGG